TCCGGACAGTTTCAAACAGCTTGGAGTTCACTTATTGCTGTATCACGCTGGCTTTATTTTAAAAATAAAGTCGATGTCACTATGCTAAGTTGAGCTAATCAGCTCAACGTATAAAAACATACGGCTCTCCTCCGAGCTTCTACCCCTGCAAAACATATACCCTAACAGGGCCTCACTCGTGTGTAAAATGCGGACTTCTTGCGACGAACAAATCGCGGCAAAACTTGACAATTTCAAGAGACGCAACACTACAAACGATAGTAGCAGACGATAATAGCGACCAATGAAAATTTTGAGAGACGAAACAATACAGACAATAATAACAACATGGCGGGGAGACCACTCGCTCTGACGCAGATCAGCGCCGTTGTTGTCCTCACACTTTTCGGCATGCGCAAAACGCGGTTAAACTCACCGCCGACAGTATCCCCCGTGCCGTTATGCGCGACGCGGATGGGGATCTAAACTAGATACCTGGGACTCACAAGCAAATAAATTGGAGGAAGTTGCTGGAGATGCGATAGCTGCTGCTCGTGAGTCCCAGCCATCTAGTTTAGCCCCCCATCCCCGCCACGCCTAGCGGAGCAGGGGATACTGTCGGCGGTGAGGCATAGTCACAGAAACAGGTCTGCAATTAACATATCGCTAAGACCCTGTTATAGCATTTGTTTTGTTATTCGGAGCTGATCCTAGTTAGTGGGTGAATATTATCAGGCAGTAACAATGCCAGTCTGTAATATTTAGCGTTACTTTGTAAGCTTGTTAACAATTATTTCCAGCCTCAGCCCTTAAAAAGTTTTTTATGTGTTTTTGTATAATGAAAAAAAAAATATGCTCATTTTAATTTGTTTATCTTTTGGAAAGGTTTTACTTACATTATTAGGTTTTTTCTGCTCAGAATGTATGGTTGAACTTGGTATCCAGGATTATTTTTTTTTTTTAGATTGGCATCCAAAAAGTAGCTTCATGAGTTACTGGTGTCACACTTATGGGGTGGTTTAAGATTGGCATCCAAAAAGTAGCTTCATGAGTTACTGGGGTCACACTTATGGGGTGGTTTACTATATGCTGAGCGATTGAATATGTACACACACACACACATACACACACACACAAACATTCAGTAAATACCTGTGTCAAATAAACTGTAAATCCTCTGTTAACTTGCTGTAAATAACAAAAAGTAATGCATTGTAAGTAACAGTAGTGGATATAGAAATAACAAGTCACTTTTCATGGAAACAGATAGGTAGCTTTCTAAAAGACTAGGGATTGAAAAGAAAGTTGTCGAAGGAAATGGAAACAGAGACAAAGGAAACATTTTGGCCATATTAAAAGATGTAATACTTTTATAACAAAACCATCACTCAAGCCAGCCAAGGAGCACAATAATAATACAGAAGACTGTGACACTAGGCTACAACCTGGTAACAGGTAGACAACAAAGAAAAAGACTCTAATAAAAACTATACTGGAATTAAAAGTTAAAGGCAGACAGTGATAAAGTGGGAGGATAACATATAGAGATATTGAGTTGAGTCAAGAATCGACATCATAGCACACAGGACATTCCCACGTGTGCTCTGTCCTCATCTTCAGCAGCCAGCGCAGAGTTCGAATACTGATGGTACCGGTCACAGTCTGGTTATATGTTCGTTTTGCCTTTCCTTTGAGTGTAGTGAGCCGGCCAGACCCTCTGGTTACACCCAGGTGCCTCATTCTCTCCAGGCGATAATAATCTTGTTTTTCTACTGATTCCATTGTTGTTCTCAAAGGGCCTTGACCACATCTGCCTTGTCATGTATCAATTCACCACCCAGTGGTGCAGATCCAGCCAATCTTTCATCAAGAAATGTATGAACAGCCAACAGAGAGAGTGTACATTTAGGCAAAAGACACAGCTTGATGAAGATCCATTGCAGTTTAGAAGACAGAACCTGGTTGATTTAATACAGTAAAAGACAGGGTGAAATACTTGTGTATAGGTTTCTGCCTTTGGAGGTGGCAGAGCGTAGGCAGCTTTAAAGAGTAATCCTTCACTAAAGAAAGTGTAATTAGTACAGCAAATTTCACTGGTCACTTATCTCAGCCTCCTGAACCTTCAGCAGCCACCAGTTTGTACACACGAAGAAAGACTGCATACAGAACATACTGTGATTTATTAAAGGCTCACATTAGGGATAAGACTTTCATGTTGGTGAATTATTCTAATTGTTACATTGTACTGGTTAAGTTGTGCACTTAATTCTGTGTTGGCAAGAAAGAAAATTGAGCAGGATTGTTTAAAATATTTTTTTAAGTGTTTTCCTGAATGTGCACTAATTATGAAATATCCTAGGACATTTTTCGTATGTTCTTTGTATCTTCTGTCACAAAATAGGTATTGTAATTTATTACTTTTTTTCCTATCTGTTTAGAGGAAGTTTGGAAGGAAAAAGGAACAGACCAAGCTACCAGGAGTTACTGGACAACCCAGTTGGTTACTTTTCTGGCGCATATCAGGATGACTGCTCTGATTTGTTTGTGACCGTCCAGGTCTTCAATAATGGCCTGCCAATTACACTTCCAATACAGACATCTTATAAATCTTTCACGACAAGGTGGAAGTAAGTAGAGAACCTAGTGGAGATCACAGTTCACCATGCTTTCATTTAATAACAATACATCATCATCATCATCCTGTTGTGCTGATATATGTCACAAACAGCTGATAGTCTAACCCCCCATTCCATTCTGTCTTGGGTAGTTCTTTAGAAAGAGATATCACATCTATAATCTAGTTCAGCACCTTTGGCCTCACTCGTTTTTGTTGTTGTTTAATTTCTCCACACGCCATCTTATTCCTGTTTTTTTCTTCAATACTTCCACTTCTTTCAACAAATGGATTACCAGTCTTTGAGATTGTTTCATTCTTGTTTAAAGTCTTTGGTTTAAATCTTTGGCTGAGGGTTTCACCTGAGCATATAAAGCCGAACACCAAGAAGAAGAAGAAGAAAATATATATAAGTACATTTTTAACAATTTATTTAGTGACCTGATTTAAAATTTAAAGTATTTTTTCAGGAATTCTTATAGCTTTTGTTTTTTAGCATCATCGTCAAAAAAGTTAAACCATTTTGTAAGTAAGTCGTCCACCTTGGTATGTTTAATAAATATGAATAAGATCTAGTATGCTATTGTATAATACTTACTAAATGATCATCAGCTGGGGGCTGAGTGGTCTCGACGTATGGCATCCACCTTGAGTGCTGGAGGCCCGAGTTCAAAACACCAGTAAAGGCTGGGATTTTTTTCACGTGGACCTCTAATAATTTTCCATGGTCTCTGGGTAGTAAGACTAGATGCCCATGTGTATTGTTGCACATGTAAAAAAAAATACCTTGGCAGTTAGAAAGAGTAAAAAAGTTGCCCAACGGCAAAATTTGGCGTTACAAATCTAGCTTACGTATTTCCGGATCCTTGCCAGTGCAACAGAGTTGGCTCACTGTGCTGAGATTCTTCACATTCAGGCATGAGTTAAAAGTTAAACAGAGCAATTATGGGTTACACCAATGTACCATGATGCTGATCCGTTAAATAAACATAAACATGCCATAACACTTGGAATAAAATGAAATATATTCATCTCCTTTAGAATTGCTTAAATTCAGTTTTTTTTATTCCTAATGGTGCACATTAAATAAATGAAGTAAAATAGTTTAATGTGCCACTAACAATACTTTCACTTTTCTATTTTAGCTGGAATGAATGGCTTACTTTACCTATCAAGTTTAGTGATCTGCCAAGAGACACAGTTCTGGCTTTTACAATTTGGGACTATTATGGTATAGAAGGCAAAGTTCCAATTGGTGGAACAACAATATCTGTGTTTGGCAAGAGAGGGTGAGTGAATTTGTGAGTGACTGGTGCTACATTATCTTTGTCAGTATAGTTAAACAGTGTGTGTATGCTTTGCCTTGGAAGACATGATGTTGCTACTTTTCCTTGTAGGTTTGGGAGCCCCATTGTGGGAAAAACAAGAACAGACCCATTGCCTTCTTCTATCGAGCATGTTGTAGGAGTCGAGCAATTGGGGGTATCTTTTGAAGTCGAAGTACATCTGTCTGAGAGGCAAGAAACCAAGAGTTTGCATATAAATAAGCCAGATGTATTAAATGGATGTGCATGCAACTTCTCAGGTTCTATAACAAGAGTAAATTCCTGCGGTGGATGAACACCCAGAAGTTTCTTCCGGAGTATACTGCCAGTAAACATGAAGGAGAAGAGAACAAGAATATACGTGGAGCAGCACTCAGTATTAACATTTGTAAATGATCTGCACTGCAGAACTGCTTATTATTTTTTCCTATGTCCTGTCTATCAGTCATACAGTTCATTAAAAGACAACAGATGAGATGGTTTGGTCATATAATGAGAATGCCCAGATACCCACTGCCACATATAACACTCTGAACATAATGAACACAAAGCAAGGGGAAAACCATGCAAAATATGGAATGAGAGCATCAAGACCACCTTTGAGAAATGTAGACAAGCATACAATGCTTTAGAAGGAGTACATGAACTGTTGAGGTGGGGAGTGTTAGACCCTCACATTCTGAGCAATTCCATTTGAGTTAGGATCACCAGTTTTCTTTTTTTCATTAACTGTTCTTTTTAGTTCTCTGGAACTTCTGAACATTATCTTGTACACATTTTTATGAGGCTAGGTCAACCCTGTGCAGGGTGCAGTTTCCTGAAAGCAAGGCAGAAACTGACTTCCACATAAATGAATACAAGACATTGAAGATGCCATAATACCACAAATGGCTGGATAACTGGCTAGAGAAAGAGAGACTTTCAGGGGTGCAATGAAGAGAGTGACAGTCTTTAGAGGAATTCATCATGATGAGGTCAGTCCTAGAGCCTTTCTGGTCATAAACAGTGATCTCATCTATGCAAGGGGTTTATGCCGGCCGGCTATCTTGGCAAACATTTGCATAAATCATTATGCTATCTCAGCTCCAAGCCATTTCTAGTGCTTCTAAATCAGGTCATTAATTTTTAGTTTTCAAATTGTCACTACCCAGGTAAATTTGGATACTTAGAGTTACTGTTATAAGTATATGCGTATATGTATACTTATTAATTACATTTTCATGGCAGAACTCTGCGTAAAGGTATGCATGATCTTAAAGTCTGGGCTGGAAGCAATCCAGACCCTCTGCCTGGTAATTTGTCAAAGACGCCTGGGAAGTCCAGAGATGCAAATGACAGGATGAGTCAGCTAGCAAAGGTCAGTGTTTGAGTTGCCTTACTGTTTTATTGTTTAGTAAAGGAAATAAAACACCAAGGAGAGATAACTTTACCTTGTACTTAGAGTTGTCCACTCTTGTGTGATTTGGTCTTTAAAGGAAGCAGATAACAGTAATGCTTACCTGGCACAGTAAATTATCCTTACCCACATATGACAGCAGGTTACGCCAGGCTGGTCTTGCCGTTACAGATGCCACAATTATACATTCTTTAGAGATTGAATAGGGGATCTGAGATTTTTTCTTGGATTTTGTCATCTCAGGGTGGTCAGACTTTAAGGGAGCAGCCTGAAGGGATTTGGAAGGGGGGGGGGGAGGGGTGGCTGATGGATCGAAGGAAGTAATAATACAACCTATGGTGATGTAGTAATTAAAAGGCAACCAGAAAGTCCTTCTATGGGACTGGCTACTTCGTTCTGTAGAGAATGTTAGATGTAAAATTTAACCAGTTATGACAAGTCTACAAATGATTTGAGTTGGTCGAAGATATATGCTCCTTTGAGAAACAAAAGGCAGAAGAAGAAATAGAACTAAAAATGTAGGACAAGAAAATGCCCAAATAAAGGTAATTTTTATGATCACTCTTATTTGTTTAAGAGTTTTGAATTAAGTTATTTAAACCTGTCACTTTACCAGAAAAAGGAACAGCAATTCTAATCTACAAGCATAAAATCAAATTTCAGTTCAAAATTTACCTTGGCTGCTGAATTAACCCAGCCCAAAATGAGTAGCAGGTAATTTCCTGGGAAGTAAAAGAGGTCAATATGATGCTGACCACATTACACACCAAGTACCAATTAGTCTATACAAATGTGAATCTAGAATAATGTGCCCAATGTGCCACTGGCTTAAAAAAAGTTAATTTCTTACTTTTAATCTACCAGAAGTTTAATTGTGTACTGTTTGCCTCACATTGTGAAGGTTGTGGATTTTCACGGCTGGATCGTTCATTTAATGAGTGCAGGTTTTATAAAGCTTTTTTGGGAATCTTAACCAGTGCTACAGAGTTTGTGCTTTGTGCTAGGCTGTCAGCAGGTGGCTAGCCATTCTGTGGAGAGAAACTGTGCCATGTTGGATAACTTAACACTTTCCATACAGTTTATTATTGACACAACATGTTTCAAGATGGAATATAATTATGGTTTAGGGAAAATGCTTGAAAGGGCCAAATTTAAGATGGACTTGTATGCCCAGCTTGTGATCCTTTAAAAATAAAGTCACTGTTTTTCATTCATTTCCTTGTTTGACAGTCTAGCATCATAGCATGAAGAAACATCAGCATAAATGATTGACGGAATATAAGATAAAAGTTTGTGGACAGACAAGATGACCAGTGCCTCGGTGGGCCACAAAATCAAGATATGTGAGTGTGTTCGTTGTGCATGACTCCTTACCTGCAAAGGGCTGCAGGATACTCCAGTCTGGAGCGTGGCCATTACTGGTGCCATAATTATAACTTCTTTTGAGGTTGAGCAGGGTATCTGGGATTTGTTTTGTTCACCTGCCGTCCACATTGAGATTTTATAATTTAAGAGTGCCAGATCATCAGGTAGCGGCCCAAGAAAAAACACAGTGAGTCAGTCAGTTTTTGAGTCAATTATTAATGTGCTTCATAATTCCAAGATACCTGATTTGATTCCAGCTGTAGGCAATTTGAAAGCAGACCGCTTTGCTTTTTGTTTTTTGGATGATTTCGACACTGGGATTGAGAACCGACTGTTAAGAAAGCAGTGACAAAATACTGAACGTAAAATTGCCTAGTAACTAAAACAGCCAAAAAATGATAGGTTTGGCTCTGCAACATCCTGTGAATGAATGCCAAATTAACTTTATTATTTATTAACATGTTTGTGCTTATTATTGTCTTCAGCTGACTAAGAAACATAGAGATGGTCACATGACTAAGATTGACTGGCTGGACCGTTTGACCTTCCGGGAAATTGAGCTGGTCAATGAGCAGGAGAAGAGAGACTCCGACTTCATGTACCTAATGGTGGAGTTTCCACATATCCATTACGACAACATTCCGTATACCTTAGTTTATTATGAGAAGGTGAGTAAGCTGCAGATGTTTATGATAAAGCTTCTTCTTCAGCATTCTGAGCTTTTGAGTTCCTGGCTGTAGATATTGCCCACTTCCATTCATCTGTGATTGGCCTTCACTTCCTGTTTGGTGACCCCATGTATATTATCTCTTCAACATTTTCTTGGTCGACTTCATGGTCTACTCTCATTCAAATCTTTTATCTACACACTTTTTTCTTTCTAATATCTGACATTCTGTCTACATGTCCCAGCCGTTGCAGTCTACTGTCCCTCATGATGTCAATAATAAGCGTTGTTTTAAATGTATTAAGAATTTGGTTGCTGCTTCTAACTCTCCATTTATCTTTGATTAGTCCAAAGATTCGCCATAAGACTGTTCTCAAAGGTTTGTAATAAGGCTTCATCTCTCTTAGTTAAACTCCAGGTTTCAGAGCCATATAGAACAGTTGGTCTTGTCAGTTTAAAAAAAAAATTTACATTGAACTTGGTGTTAGAAATAGAGCAAATGATTTTAACAGATGCCGTAGAGTTTGATAGAACTTTTTGAAGCAAATTTATCTTTGTCATCATCATCTTAGCCATAACATTGCAATACAGATTTTTTTTAAAGGAGGGTGTATATCGGATGTTTATGATGGAAGGTTATGAGAATTCACAAAACCTCTTCATGAACATTATCACTGTTATTCATGCTCATGTAGCTTTTTTTAATAGCAGGGAATTTAGCATCAGAAGTCCAAGAGGTGGTAATAACTGATTTGTCTTCTGCTTGTGTCGGTGGACTCATCTTTGAATGCTTTGCATGATTTACCTCGTAGAGCAGTTCCCTCATCAAAGCTTGACTTTGTTAATGACTGAGACAAAGGTACTTCATTACTTGCTTCATCCGGCTCCACATAAATCTGATCAAAACTGTTTTTTTCTGAAAGATGTACATTGAGTTGATGTATATGAAGAAGACGATTCTGCGGCCATATTCTTTTCAGATGCCTAATAACTTTGTTTAGCTCACAAAAATACTGTATTTTTTGTTTTAACAACACAGCAAAATAAATTAATTTAACACAAATTTGTTATTAAAACATCAAGTGCTGGAAAGGTAATTCAAAATTGCACTTATGTTTTTACACTGCCCAGTGGTAACTTAAAAAGAGTTTGTATAATCAGTGTACTGTGCACCTAATGATATCAAGCGTATTTATATAGGAACTAATCTGTTGTTCTCTAGTACCTAATGAGTTCAGTGATCTGTCTACAACTTTCCTTCAGAAATGCTTTTTATTAGTTTCTAAAAGTTACGCAAGTTAATCATGTTTTAAACAATTTTTTAAATTTTGTTGTTGTTGTTGTTGAATTTGTAGCATTAATATTGCTAAATGTTATTATTTTGCTACAAGGATACTGTTAAATGTTACCAACTTGTTTCAGGAAGGTGATAAGGCATATGAGTATCAGACACACAGAGAGATTGTCACAATTAGTGACCCTGAGATAGCTCTGGTAAGTAAACATCAACTAGCATCTCCATTGTGAGTTCACTCTGCCAGAAATAGTGGAGGTCAAAAGATTTAAACTGTTGTTGGAAAAAAAAAAAGGAAATGCATAGTTATCTGATAACGTTTTTTTAAGATTAATTGGTGGGAAAGCCCTATTGATGACTCAGATGCAAAAGAACTGTCAGTTGATTGTTTGAACGCTAAGGTATTCTGATTTAACAGTTTAACATATTAGATTACGAAAAATGTGAATGTCAGAATTATGACAAAATTATGTTACTTTCAGTAACTATGCACTTTAGGTGGGGGTGGGGGGTGAAAAAAAGGACAGACAAAGTACTCAGAGTTTGTCCTTGATTATTCACACCCTCCATCTCCAGCTTTTCTTGTGGTAACAAAATATTGTTGTCACTAGAAGTCTTACATCTGTTCAGATTGTGCATTATTTGTTTAATATAGGTACTGTATGTTTCATGTGTATAAGATGACCCCTGTTTTTGCCTAAAATTAAGAAAAAATACTTTAATCACACCATCGTTTTAAACCTTTATTTTCAAAGGGTCTCAGACTGGACGCGCAGGCCCATCTTACATTTGGCCCTTCCAAACACACATCTTTCACACAACAGTTGTATGTTATCAATGTAGCATGTTATGTTCATATAATAATAGACATGCCCACCCACTCACTTACACACAGACACATGCACGCACGCACACACACACATACACACACACACACACACATATATATATATATATATATATATATATATATATATATATATATATATATATGTGTGTGTGTGTGTATACACACACACACACTCACCTACATACCTACATACACACCCACATACATACACACACATGCATTCACACACTCACACACATAGATACATACATAATACATACATATATGCTTGCATGCATACACACAAATGCACACACATATACACATACACAGAGACAAAGACACATTTACAGACACAAACACACACACACACTCACACAGATATACACACAGATACACAGAAACACATCAGAGATGGACAACAATGTGAGGGATTGTGCAAACAAGACAAAAGAGTGTGTTGAAGATCCATTACAGACAGTCTTCCTTGTGGAGACGGCACCTGATTTAGTAATATGCAGTGAAACATGTTGGGGAAATGCCATTAAGCCAAGGGCTGTTTGGTCCTTATTAATGTGCAGAGTTTTAGTTTGTCAGAGGTGACAGGAAACTCTTAACCTATTCACTGCATGGCAACTACTATGACAAGCTACCTTTATTTCTCAGCCAGGAACACCTTCGTAAAAACTAGCAATGTTACGCAAACAGTCCTCATCATCATCAAGTGTCTTGTCAAGTGGAGTGGGTAATCACAACTCCCCACAACCGTCAGTCTCCAACAGCTCTCATCATCTGACACACCCCTCCATGCCATGACTAAAGATGTCAAGAATCTTTGTGCATAGTCTTTCTTGAGGCATGGTGTCCGCCTCTAGTGCTAGAGGTCCCTTTATTCAAGCACCGGTGAAAGCTGGCAATATTTTCACATGGACTTCTAGTAATTACCTCTGGTGTCTGGGAAGTAAGATCGAATGCCTGTGTGTGTTGTTGCACACGTAAAAAAAATTCCTTGGCAGTTGGTAATCAAAAAAGAGTAGCCCAACGGCGCTGCCCGGGCAACATTTTGAGTTAAAAATCTACCCAAATGATTTCAGAATTCTCGCCGGTGCTACAGAGTTCCTGCACTGCGCTGAGATTCTTTGTACTCGGGCTTGAGTCAGAAGTAGAACAGAGTATTATGGGTTGCTGCCCTCGTACCATGATGTTGACCTGTCGTTTAAACCTAAACCTTTCTCCTATATTTGAGAAATTCTACAGATAGTAAAGATAGAATTACCCTTACATATTTTTTATGCACATTCTATAGGCACGTGTGTTGCTAACAGTTTTTTTTTTTTTTACTAGGAAAATATTGTTGAGAGCAAACACCACAAATTGGCTCGTAGTCTTCGTTCAGGGCCTAGTGACAAAGATCTGAAGCCAGATGCCAGTACCAGGGATCTGCTAAATGTAATTTATCATTAATACCATTACTCTTCATTGTTTATGCAAGTATATTTAGTGTTAGATTAGTATTCTGCATTGTTAATATCAAAACTATTTATTGTTTATAATTTATTCTTTGTTTTAAAGCCAGTATTCCTTTTTGTTAATGCCGGTATTTTTTTTTATGTTTTGTTTTTGTAATTAATGCTATGATTTTTTTTTTTTTAATGACATTGTTCTTTATTGTTAAAATGCATTTTTTAGTAATTTGTTGTAGTATTTCTCTTTGCTATATAATTCAACTAAGTAGTTTCTTTAAACTTGATAACATGTGATAATATTCTCCTTATGGTCCCTGCCAAAATGCTTTAGTTTTTTATGTATGCTCATATGCTTGCATCTTTGGCTTAGGCATTACGAATGAGCTTCATAATGCTGGGAATGCTGGGTTTGATCTCAGCTTCAGTCGATTTTTTTCGCCTTGCATTGGTTTCGACAGTGGTTCAAAGAGCCGACCGTTGAGGGACAGTTTCAAACTACTGAACATAAATTTGCCTACATAACCACTACTGCCAAATAATACTGGGGTTGGTTCTGCAACATCCTGTAAAAAATATGCAGTTAACATTTTTCATTTTTTATCTCTCATATTCCTCTGTGAGCTTGTCAGATTGTATAGCATCTTCTCTCTTTGTCTTTCCTTCCCTCCAGCTTTCTTGTTGTCACAGCCTATTTCAGTTTTTCTCTTCTTAAGAAACACTAATAGAATAAAGTGGGCCATTATTGGTATCCTGGGAAGAATAAATGCAACCTGAAAACCTCATGCCATAGCATGGCTGATCAGGCCCACAACCTTGGGTGGCAGCTGGTCTGGGAGGGAAGCTCTGACGGGTGGACAGGTCTTCTGCGCAGCATGCTTTATTAGGAACATCTTGGTATTACCTTTCCTTTGGAGTAAACAAAACAGGTAGAGAGAGGAATCAGTGCTGCATGGGCAACACATGGTCTCTACAGTACTGCATAGCTTTGTGCAGTGGAGAGGAGGAACTTCATCATTGGCCTTAATAAGTATTGTCATAATCTGCGATTCCCACCCAGCTCTATAGCACACTATAACACTGTCATCTGGTAAGGTGCCAACAACAACATCAAATGATTTATAATCAGTCAGTATATTGGAAAGCAGGAATAAAAACGGGGGGGGGGGGGGGGGGGGTGTTGTTGTTGGTTACTGAAGTAGGAAAAAACGCCAGCTACATTTCAGCAATTCAAACCAGAACCAAATGCTAGTTTTAACTCTTTATGCCTATTTAGTGTATTAATCGCCTTTTTTTTTACATTTCAGAAAATTATTGGCTATCCACCAACCAAGACACTTTCTTCTGAAGAGCAAGATTTGGTTTGGAAATTCAGGTTTTATTTGTCTTCACAGAAGGAGGTATGCTAGAATAACCTTATACAGCAGCTTTTTGTCTGTTATTTTTGTATTAGTCTTCAGAAACTATCAACTGTTTCACAGATTTTATGTTAAAATAATAGCGCTTTTTGCTCATTTCTTTGAATGTTGTCTGCATTGCTACTAGATACTTGAGATATATATTTATGAGTTCTGTCATGAAGTGAAGTTCTCACAGTGTGGGTTGGGGGCCCCATTTTTGTGTGTGGAGGAGTTTGGGGGCATATACCCACTGCTCCTAACAACTGTTTTAAAAAACTAATTAAAAATTTGCTGAAATTAGATGTGTTGGGTCGAAAGGTGCAGAAATCAGTCTACCTGTAAACCACAACACAGAGTGCCAGCAGCCTTTTAAGGGTGACAACAGAAGAAAAAGAAGCATGAAGTTTTACTATGGCTATTCTAATTATGATCTTCGTGGAGAATTTAGATTGCTGCACATGGGGCAAGTCCAGTAGTGCTCTGTCTCTTCTTGCAGAAGTTAGAGGACGTTAATGCTGATGCTCCTGTTATGAGTTTTTTAGCTGCACATCAGAACCATCATCATCTGGGGTCATTTCGACAAGTCTTATAGTCAGTCTCATGTTCTAATAACTATGAACTGCATTTCTAGTATTAGACTGTTGGTATTGGCACTTCTGACTGCTGCCTTATACATTTAATGAATGTACATGCTGTTGCATTTGCTAAGACTGCATTCTGTCAATTTTTTTCACCAGGGACAGTGATAAGCATTCGGTTTGGTTTTCATTAGCACAGGAACAGACCAACTATGGGATGACCTGTTTGATATGAAGTTGGAACTGCGATTACCTGCTTAGTCTAAGAAATTTTTGGAAAACAATTTTCCGCTGATTTGAAGCCTAAAAGATTGACTTGAATGACCACTTCTAATGGTTGGAGGTACTGCCCTACAATTGACATACAGGCTTTACCGTGAAAAAATCCTTTATCTTTATCATATAAATTATATTACAGTAAAACGTCATTAACTGAGACTCACTTAAGATGAACACTTGTTAACATGAACAAAATTTGGGTCCCAGCAGCGATGTATTGTTATTATTATGTATGTATCAGTCACCGGTTAGCACATAGTTTTTAACACAAACTCATGCTTTTTTGGTCACTTGGAATTTGTGCTAAAAACATTTTACCATATAGCTTAGTGCATAAATAGCTTGTCACGTAATATATATTTTCTCATTTCTGTCATATTTTTAGGCCCTGGCCAAGTTTTTGAAAAGCGTGAACTGGAAGTTGAGTCAAGAATCAACTGCAGCCTTGGAAATGTTGATGAAGTGGAGTCCCATGAATGTAGAAGATGCTCTGGAGCTGTTGAGTCCAGCTTTTACTCATACTAAAGTGCGAAAGTATGCAGTCATGCGACTGAGGCAAGCAGATGATGAGGTGAGCATTCTGTAATAGAAATACAAGTAGTACGGCAGCTCTACATTCAGCTGTGCCTAAACAGTCACGATCTATAAGGTGCCAAGAGTTGGAATATTGTAAGTGACTATGGATTAGTGTTTTTCTTTTTCTTCTTCTTTGTGTTACTGGCTGTAAACTGCGGTGGAATATTCTGAGTGTTTGTCCACTTCTCGACTTTAGTCTTCTTCCAAAACTTTGCACATTTATTTTGCAGATCTGGCTTATTTTCATGCAGCTTGCTGGTTCATAGCCTGTCAGGTAAATTTACTTTGACTTCAAAGAAAACTCCCCTAATTAGTCGACGTTTGCAACATGCTATTTAGGAGAGCAGCGTGTCTGTACTCCCCCCCCCCCCCCCCCATAATGAGGCCATGGAACTCACATGGATACTAATAGATTAGGACAAGACCTCTTTTTTCACTTCTGTTTTTTTTACCTTTTTGGGTGTTGATACAGATATAAGGTTCTGCTTCTTGCTTTTCTGGCCAACTAAACCATTGACAGATCGTGCTGTAGTAGAGTTTCTCTTGTTTTTAACCTCCTCATGCACTGTATTCGATCCCAGCTGCGGGCCATGCACCTTGCGTTGTTTTTGATTGTGGTATCGAGAAGCTGACCATCAAGAAAGCAATGGCAAACATAAATTTACCTAGAAAAACAACAACAACAACAAAATACTGGGGTTGGTTCTGCAATATACACAACTAACTAACTAACTAACATGCACTATATACCTCTCTTCATTTGGTGTAGACTTTGTATGATTTGACATCGCCAGGCACTCTCTCTCTCTAAAGTGTTTGGTTCTGTGTCATCTTTTCCCTTAAGATTTCATTCATAATTTTGTCTCTTCTGTTCACTCCTGCAGACATCTCATTTTGATAAATATTAATTCTCTATGCTGGTTTGTTGTAAGTGGCCATGTCTGGTGGCGCTTGTAGCACAAGGTGAGGATGAATACGCTTTTGAATATAAGTATATGATAAGACCGACAAGCTGCCTGAAAATCAGGGGTTCAAATCCTTATCGAGATGTATTATTTTCAGAATTGACCTTGCCTGCAAAGTCAACCCAGTCTTAAAAACGGGAATGAAGTAGTGTCCTGGAAAGTAAAGGTGGCTGGCGTGATGTTGACTGCATCATCTGTCAAGTGCTAATTGGTCCAAACTATAGGTCTGTCTGGCACTGTGTACTCAATGCGTGAAAGGCATGAAAAGGGAAGCAGGTCCTTTATGTACTATAATATATACTTGCTACACCGCAAAGCTTTGAGAATGGGCCTGTCACAGACCTCTGGGTGACCTTGCTGGTCCGTGGCTCGTAAATGGGCCTATGACAAACAGACCAACCTTTAACACACACTGAACCCGAACGCACACAGAGCACACACAACAATCTTTATTGGAAGTACAGGTAATACATAGACAGTTGACTTCCCTTGTGTGGCCACCTAATGCCTGGACCCTCTGGCTGAACGGGCTTTACAATCACCTCGTCCCCCAGTACGTGCTACAGGCAACCTCCTGGTGTACAAACCACAGCCTGGCGAGATACATTCTTTTCTATCGCCACACTGACCCAATCAAACTGTCACAGTCTCTGTCTTAGTGCAGGGTCAGAGTGTCAAGGTTAGCCACTCTCTCACAGCACATATACATAAATACTCTACACAAGAACTATCCTATCCTAACACAAAACTGTACATAAACTATCCAGTCACTAACAGAAATATATCCTAACTTTAATACTATAACTGTCTTCCTAAACGTCCTCTCTTCCTGACCGACGCACACCGAATGTCCTGTGTTCTCTCTCCCTCGTGTCTCTTGACCCCGTTCACCAGCTCAGTCCCAAAAGCGGTCATCGTGCTGTCGACTTGTCTAACAGCGTTCACTCTTTCTTGCCGTGGGCAAACGCTTTATCCTGAGCGCTGGTTTCGCTGTTCAATAACAGTGGGACTTGCCCAGTCACGGCCCTGACCTTTGTGTCAACCCTGGGGTGTCACCTCAACACGCACACCTTACGGTGTGGTACATTCCGCCACTGACTGTACTCACAGGGTTGTGACAGGGCGCATTATTGGTTTACTGGTTTACACATTCTCCTTTACTTATGACCTGTGTAACTTATGACCTATGTGACTTACAACCATCCACACTTACAATCACAGAAAAAAAAATTAATTTAAAAAAAAATAGTAAAGAAAAAAGAACTATGGTGGTAGGATCAAAATATTTCCAGAACTAATGCTTAGAGCGCAGCAGGGTATAATTATACATGCACATATTGAGGTTTTGTTGTACTATTTTTATCACCGGTTAGAATGAAAATAGTGTTGAAAAACATACATTTTACATACAACCAGTTTGATGGAATGTAACTTGGTGGTAAGTCGAGGAGATCCTGTATTTGTGTACGTGTTTAGTAAACAAGTGTGTCCGGAGATCCTGTACTTATGTACATGTTTAATAAACAAAATGTGTCCTTTGCATGTTTTGTTGTAGGACCTGCTGTTGTACCTGCTGCAGCTGGTACAGGCACTGAAGTATGAAGACTTCAAAGAGATTAAGAATCGCAATGACAGAGACGTTGTACCTTCTCATCCTGAGTATGACTCACATCTAAAGGACACAGATCTACCATCGCTGGTCACTGAGCCTGTCTCTGGAGTGGACCAGCATCCTCTTGCAGTGTCCAACTTGACCTCATCGTAGGTTCTCTTTGGATTATTTGTGCTCCCTGTGTGGGTTTCTGGGCTCTATTGTGCGGAAAGCAAGAATAGACCCACTGCCTCCCCAACAAGCATTTTGTAAGAGTCAACTAATTAGGGGGTTTCCCTTCAAAGTTGGAGTGCTTCTTTCTAAGAAGCAAGAAACCAACAGTCTGCATACAAATAAGTCAGATCTGTAAAATGGATGTGCATGCAACACTCAGGTTCTGGAGCAAGCCAGAGGTGGGTGAACAACCAGAACTTTCCGCCAGAGTTTACAGCCGATGAACACAAAGAAGATGAAGAAGAAGAATTGTGCTCACTAACCACATAAATCTAGCCCCAAACTCCATTGGAATGGGAACTTTCAACTCTTGCTGTCCCAGACAGTGCACTATACTTGACTGGGTATTATTCACATGAACCAGTCAATCATGTTATGTATATTTTTACATATTATGTTTAGTTAGGGTCTCTGAAGAAGTAAGACAAATTATTGAATTCCTGCAAGGGTTGTTTGTTTGGCCCCTCTGGAAGTAGTATACCCATGAGATTAGTTTTGCCATCCATAACTGCCTCGGACATTAACTAGGACCTTGTGCGACTAAAAAAGTTAAGACATTACATCAGTCGTTCCCAGTTAGCTAAGGTCTGCAGACCCCTATTATTTTCAAAGGTTACCGAAAAGGTAGGTAGGTAGGTTGTACCCCACCAGGACATCACACCAGCGATAAACACCGGGTGACACAAAGTGCCACCATGCGGATGAGGATCATCCGCGGAGAGGTCCCAGAAACCATGTTCAGTTGTTAAGCCATATTTAAGGCCAGGATATATTTAGAGCCGCCTGCAAAAGCCAGGGTGGGGCTTCACAATAACTAAAAATTGCATTCCACAAGTGGATAACGATTCTCTCTCTTAATTTACCCCACCAGAACATCACATAGAGCGATAAACACCAGAAGACACAAAGTGCCACTATGTGGATGAGGATCACCCATGGAGAGCTCCCAGAAAACTTTTTCAGCCGTTAGGCCATATTTATGGCCCGGCTATATTCAGGGCCCCTGGCCAAAAGCCAGGATTGGGCTTCAAATAACGTAAAAATTGCATCCCACATGGGGACAACTAATATACGTAATATGGGTGACGATTCTTGCCAAAAGTAGTAGTAGTAGTAAATTTTACCCCACTAGGACATCACACAAGCGATAAACACCCGAGACACAAAGTGCCACCATGCGGATGAGGATCACCCGTGGAGAGGTCCCGGAAACTGCATGCACGCACACACACACACATATATATATATCTATATATATATATATATATATATATATATATATATATATATATATATATATATATATATATATATATATATAACATATACATATATATATATATATACATATATAGTATATATATATACCAATGAAGTGACTGCAGGAAAAGAACAAGAAGATATAAATATATTTTATGTTTCTTCTTCTTCTTATAGTTCATGTCGTACGGTGTTGTTCTTCCCTCATTTGGGGTATCTGGATTTTGGTCAGTGAAGCATGTAACTTTCCTGATTGTGGGGGTATCTGGATTTTGGTCAGTGAAGCATGTAACTTTCCTGATTGTGGGGGTATCTGGAAAATTTGACCAATCAAATGTGCATCTTTCTTGACTGTTGTGCAGAGTGTTTGGACAGTTTGACCACTGGAGTGGATAACATACTTAGCTTTTGTGTTTATTGTCTAGAAAGTTTTCATCATTCATGTGTGTATCTTTCTTTGCTGTTTTGTAAAGTGCTCTGACAGTTGGACCACAGAAATGTGTGTCTTCGCTTCCTAAGGAGTTTGGACAGTTTGTGTTTATTGTCTAGAAAGTTTTGATCATTCATGTGTGTATCTTTCTTTGCTGTTTTGTTGAGTGCCCTGACAGTTGGACCACAGAAATGTGTCTCTTTGCTTGCTAAGGAGTTTAGACAGATCAACTACTAGAGACATGACTTTTCTGCTATTGTGTGTTAAATTTGCAGCATCTCTAAACAATATTAGTCTTTAAATTGATAACTGTGCTTACTTTATGACATATTGTGGTGTAAATACATTTACACTGCCTCAATACATATATCCTATTGCAGTGTTGTTGTTGTTTTGTTTTTTTCAGCACTTCAAGTTTGGAAGAAGAGTTCAGGCCCAGGTAGGATTGTTGACTTCACCATAGCTATGTTATATGTTGTTGTTTAGTCTCAGGTAGATGTTGTCTCTTCTTTTAATCCGCACCTGCTGTTAAGCATAAAGGAATTGGCCAAGTAGCTAGAATACAGGGCTCTAATGCAAGAGAACCAGGTTTTAATGAATTCTCAGTAATGTAATGGAATTTGTTTCTGTGGGAGGCCACACACACACACACAAAAACTTGCTTAACCTGCACAGTCTGTGGCAACTTCAAAAGTCATGGGGTCCTGAATCTTCAGGCTCATTACCCCAATCCTACACAGCCAAAGAAAGCTGTAGACGTAGGCATTCAGTTTTTTTGTCAGTTGTTTGGCGGAAGCTTGGACAGAGCAGATATCATCAACGCTTTACACTAGTAGACTGATCTACGCACTGACACGATTGCAGGACCTGGAAATAAAAGATATTGAAGCATATCCGTGCTGCCTTCGAGGCCGAGACGTTAAAACTCAGCTCTTCATGAGAACAATCAGTAGAGTTATCTTGGAGTGGCTGCTGCATCAGAGGACTGAGCACACATGGGAATGCCCAATGTGCAGTGATGTCGGTTATGATAACATACATAACTTGCCTGGTGTCCCAAAGGTCCTGAGTCCAAATCTGCATTAGGACTTCTTTTATAATTGACCTAATTCTCTGGGGTAAATCCAGCTTTAAAAGGGAGAAGAAAATGACCTGGGAAGTAAAGATGACCAGTGTGAGGTTGACCAAATCGCTGAGTGCTGATTCCTCATCATCATCTAGCAGGTCTTTTGCTCTCATCATGGTGTGCCTGAAAGAAACGCAGTTTGTCACTAGCACTCGAGCGTTGCACGTTTTCCTACCCACATTATCACTTTTTATCCTGTGCCCATTTTCGTGCTCATCAGTCCCTGCCCCTCTTTCCTGGTATCATGTCTTCAGGATTTGAGTGCTAATTGATCTGTATTAATTTTGGTCCAGCACCACTGGCTTGGTGCACCAATTGCATGAAAGAGTTTGTTACTGTTTTTTTTTTTTTTTTAAATATACTGAACAGATCAACCTCAGCTACTGAAGAGGAGATTTTAGATGCAATGAACACCGGATTAACTTCAGGAAAGAATGAAGCATCTCTTTCAGCCCTGGATGAAGAGGTAAGGCTGCATGTATTATTGTGATTATGTTGAATTTTATTGTTACATTTTTTTGTTTTTTTTTGTTTAATACTGTGATTATTATTATTATTATTCCTCCTTCTCTTCTTCCTCTTCTTCTTATAAGTGATCACTGGGTGTAAACTCCAGTGGAAAGTTCTGGCTGTTGGTCCACTTCTTAGTCTTGTTCAAGAACTTGAGTTTTGCATACATATTCTGTTCTTTGTATAAGAAGAAAAAATAGAAAACATATCCTTCAAACTATTTTCATTTTCATGTTAAGATCACACTCCACACATCTTTGTTTCTCATCAAGTCATATATATATATGCATATATACCTCCTGCTGAAGGTGTTGGGGGCAAGGAATCATTTATTTAAGCTTGTTCTTGATGCCCTAACTCTTATCTTTTGCAAGTTTTCCCTTGCTCTGTTTTCATGTAGCTCAATGTAACACTTGATACTAAGACATCCTGTCACATTGCCAACCACCTTTTCTATTGCTCTTTCATGAACTGTATATGTCTGGTTTCAGTCCTAGTCTTCTCATTTGTTCATTTTGAATAATATATCTCCCTGTTGCCCCTTGCATCTCATCTAAGAGTTCACATCCCTGTTATGATTTTAATGGAGGTTGCAACACAAGACCGGACTTTATGGCGCACATATATCTGAGAATGTGCAATGATTTGCAAGGCATCTAGAGCAAGGGCAGCTGAACAGCGAAGACAGGCCAGAAAAAAACATGTCAATACAGGCCCTTAGTCTACAGACACTGTGCCCTGCCTTCATTGTCCTAGACTCTTCCGGGCATGTATTGGACTTATAAGTTAACTCCAGACTCACAAACATTTAACTACAGTTTCATGAGGTATGAAAGAAAAAAAGGTGCTCATCACTTGTGATAGGTGGACCAATGAACAATGATTTTGTGTTCATTAGTTATAATAAGAGGACTGTCTGGACGAATGGTTAAGAATGCTGGGCTCTGGTGCCGAAGACCCAGGTTCGAATCCTCTGTAAAGATGTGGATTTTTCTGTCGAGGACCACCTCCTTTCCTCAATACAATAATGACAGTATGGCAGTTGTAGTAAGGGTTGACAACAAGGTAAATAGTTTTATCTTTGTTAGCAACAGTAAATGTGTGTTTGTTTTCTTACATTATTTTGGGAGGCATGGTAATGCAGTGGTTAGCAAGCTTGCTTGCAAGCTAAGTGTTGAATGTTTTAATCCTTTTTTCCTTTTTTTTTTTTTTGGAAGAATGAGTGTGTGAATACTTGTAAATTTTTCTTTTCAGATGGATTTAGCAACATTTCTCATCTCTAGGGCTTGCAAGAACCCAGTTGTAGCAAATTATTTCTATTGGTAAGCATGAGTATGAAATAACTTTCATTTAAAAGTCTCCCAACTTGGGGCCCCACCCCACAGGGTAGAATTAGGGGGGGGGGGGGGGAAGATACAAATTTTTCAAAAGCTCAGGTAGGGCATGGTACACAAAAGGTTGGGAAACACTGGTTTCGAGTCAGCTGAATGCAGAGGGTGTTGCAAAGTAGTGTTGTCCCTGTGCTGGTTGGGATGTAAAAGGGGGAGGGGGAAGGGGAGGGAACACCCACAGCTCCTTAACCAGCATGTCATAACTGGCAGATTGACAGCTAATGAAGGATCTGCTGAAACTGGATGTGTAGGGCCTATGTATTTAAATATATATATGAACAACCTGGCCCTAAACCACATCACAGTGTGCCACTGGCACTTTTAAGGGTGAATAACGAACAAGAAGATGAAGTACTTTTGTACTCACTTTATAAATCTTTTGATGCCTAATTCCTTTGTCTTAGAGTATGTCAGATGATGATGATGAAGCATGGGAAAAGGATGAGGCAGTAGTTTTCTTCCTGTCTGCCATCTTCCAGTAGAGCAGAGGCCTCCATCTAACTCATGCACATTTGTAGATGTGTCATGATTTGTTGTATTTTACAGCTAAAGTTTGGATGAGTTGTCCTGACTAGTTATATCAGTGATTCCCAAACTGTGTGCCGCGGCGCCCTGGGGAGCCGCAACCTCTTCACAGGGGCGCCGCGAATTATTAGAAGATACACAAGTTTTTTTTTTTTTTTTTTAAATCTCTTACATATGAATAGTCATTCTTTTGCTAAGGTTGGGACGCCGTGGAAAAATTTTATTTTAACAAAGGCACCACGACTAAGACAAGTTTAGGAAACAGAGTTAAATGTTAAAGTCAAAGTTGTGTTTTGATGATGTTTGGTTGTATTTTTGAACATCTTGTTTCCTCTACCCATTTGTTTCCTATTTAAGAGCCTGTTTAGTGATTCTGTAGTAGGTTTGCCTCTTAGGTGATTCTATAGAAGGTTTGCCTGTTTGATGATTCTATAGTAGGTTTGCCTTTTGGTGATTCTATAGAAAAGGGCTATTCAACTGGTGGCCCGCGGGCCAAATCTGGCCTGCCGAGGCCTAGCAAGTGGCCAGCCGATCGTTGCCAAAATAGCGAAATGTAGTAATAAAAGATTTGTAAAAATGAATCAGTGGTTCTGTATATTCTTCAAAAACCAGTCGTGTTGAATGTGCCAACAGGAAGTGTTTGTCATGAATCTGTAAATGCGAAGATACAAGGGAACCAGCATAGGAACAGAAAAAATAATTAGATCAGGGTAAAAGGTAAAAGTTCGTTCCCAGATCGTTCAAATAGCAAAACTCGCCTGTTTGAAGCCAAAGGTAATAAGATAAGGCTGGACAGAATCAAGTAGCAAGTAGCAAGGCCACCGCTGCATTGGACATTCAATGAAGGTGAGATATTTATTGGACAGGAGGCGTACGGAAATACCAGCATGGTCCTGAAAGTGAGAGCTTAGATTACCGAGAATCTCTCCGCAATGGACGCCACTGACACATACAAACTAATGACACTGGATGCAGCAGAACACCAGACACTGGACACTGCAGAATACCTGCTAGTGATCTTGTTATCAGATTATAACATCACAGAAAAACGTCCAGTCAACAGTCACATACAAGACACAATCACACGTAGATTTGCCAGACGCGATTTTACAGTAACAAACTGAATCAGTAACAGTGTTTTAAATTACCTACTTTTAATAATTTAGTTAAATACTTAATGCCATGGCTGGCGCTAGTAAGCAAGCAAAGTGGGAATGTGAAAATCGTGCATTCAACAGTGACTGGACACTAAAATATTTATTTTTATCCCCAACTATGCCTAATTTGAAACCAGTATGCTTGCTATTTTATTTCCTCAACACTGGACTCGGCAATCTTAACCAATCAAATGATATAAATATTTTTAAAAACTTCAGAATAATTTCAACAACAGATTTGACGACTTCAGTATCCCAAAACAATGTAATGTTATTCGTTCGATATTATTTTAAAATACCTCCTGCATGTGATTTTTTCTTCCAATGCTAAGAAGTTGATATCCTCTGTTGGTGAAGGTTCTCTGCAGTTAGAACTTGTGAATATCAAATGTTCCAGCGCAGTGAAAAAAGATTTTAAAGAAAGTGGAACCGCTAAGTTTTGGTAAGAGAGGATTCAATAGGAGCGTTCCCTGATGCTAGAAAAGTTGCTGTATTTATATTCACCATGTCTGGCTCAACTTTCACTTGTGAATCAAGCTTATCACACATAAATGTTATCAAGACAAACAGTTGGAGCTCACTGAGCAATGATAGGCTGCAGGATTGTAGGAGAATCGCTCTAACTTCCCACCAGCCAAATTTGGTAAATTTAGCTCAAAAACGAAAGCATTTCCCATTAATTACATTTAGCATCGTTATACCTTTCGGCTTCATCTGCAGAACATGAAACCAACTGTAGACAGTTATTATTATCATTATTGTGACAATGTAATGAAAGTGACAGAGGTAACGTTTATTTATGATCCTAGCGACAAGTTGGAAATACGTGTATTTCAATTAAAATTGTTTCCAGTGTGGGTTCAGTGGCCTATTGATAGGAAATTAGAATAGACCCACTGAATAATCAAAAGAATGTCGCAAGAGTCGACTAATTGGGAGCTTTCTTCGAAGTCGGAGTAAATCTGCCCGAGAGCCAAGGAACCCACAGTGCATGCAGAAGAGTAATACGTTTAAAACTGAAGTGTACGCAACACTCAGTTTCTGGAACAGGACTAAAGTCCAGAAGTAGACGTACAACCAGAACTTTCCGCTGGAGTTTACCGCCAATGAATACATAAAAGAAGAAGAATTACAAGTTAGTATTAATTAATAATTACAAAAGATTGTAGTACACTTTAGAAAATAATGGTTTACAACACTGCTTCATTTGTATATGTTAAGTCCTAGGCGTAATAGTTTTCGAGTGTAATAAATCTACAGATTGAAAATGTCAATTTTAGTGTGGGCTCGGGCCACTGGCCCACGCAGATCTCAATGTTCAACATTTTGGCCAGCAGCCAAACTTAGTTGAATAGCCCTGCTATAGAAGGTTACAGTGTTATAATTGCCTGCTTCCCTCAGTTTCCAGTAAAACACTGGCATGAATCACATACACAAAAAAACTTTTTCACTTGCTCGTTTGCTGTATTGTATTTTGTTTGCTTCAGGTACCTGCTGGTTGAGTCTGAAGATCACACAGATCTACAGAATGAGGAAGTTCTGGCTATGTACAAGTCTGTTCTCAGGAGATTTAGTGTAGCTTTGAGCAAGGTAAGCTCAGTAGTTTCTCTGCTACAGATTGATAGTACCTTTGGGGCTTTCAAGAGGACAATGTTGTATAGTTAGTTAGTTAGTCGTCAGATTATCCTCATTGCATGTGAAACCACTCAGTCCATAAGTGCCGGAATCCCCTCCTCAGTAAATCAAGCAGCGTGCAGCGACTGATGACGCCAGTTTTTTGGTATATTATTCTTATTTGGCTACCCGCGTAGTGTTCTTATTTGGCAACACCGCGTTTAACTTGCTATTCTTGCAGTCTGACCATGGTTGCAAATTCACAATTCTTAATTAGTTCATGAAAAAGTCTTGAATGTCGTAGAGCATTCAGTATGTCAGCCTGGTTCATGGCTTGCTGGCTTTCACAGTAGCCTTACCCACAAGTCTTCAGCTTGCTCATTTCCTTGTACCCCCACATGTCCTGGCACAAAAATGAAACTAATCCGAATCAGCCGTTAACTATGTAGAGCCACCAATCACTGCCTTTGGACACAGTCCTACTCTGTCTTTCTGAGCATACTCATTGAGTCACTGAGAAAGCATGCCCCAGTGAAAGTCTATGCCTCTAGTGATGTTACTGCTTTAGGTCAAGAAGGAGGGGCAGGGGCCAGACAACACAAAGATAGCAACAAGAAGTTGCTCCTTGGATATAAAAGTGTGCGAAGGGGAAGAGCTGGCGAAAGACTGAGTTTCTTTCAGACAGACCATGATGGGAGCGACGTTTTGCTCAAGACCTGCTAAATGATAATAATGTTCCTCCTTTTAAAAGCTCAAAGCCATGGAAACCATCTGTTGTCTGTGCAGTATGATCCCTCCCTTGGACTGCCTTGTTTATTCTAGAGGAAAGGTAACACCAGAACATTTTTAACAAAGCAGGCTGCAAAAGCTGCTGGATCAAAAGAGGAGTGCTCTGTCTGACCACCTGTCAATTTCCCTCCTGGACAAGCTGCTTACCAGTGCTATACACCTGGGAGGCCTGCCATTAGAATTAGTTTTCAGGTTGTATTTCCTTTTCATAAATTAATAAGGCTGTATACATTCTTTAAAATAATAACTTGCTTCAGTCATATCCAACTAGGGAATCATATCACTCAAAGAGGCTATAATTGTAATTCTTCATTCCTCAAGCAGTTACGTGATTGCCTATCCTTGCTATGTGCCACTCTACATGTCATGTTGGGTTTATGGTTCTTACGTTTAGTCAGAGCATACTAGAAATACCTGGAAGTATGTATGTTTTTTTATAAGGTGTGTACTCCCCATACCACAGGGGAAAAGATCTCGTGGAAGACCAAGTGAAACCCTACGTAGAACCATCATCAGGGAAGGCTCGCTCATGGACCACTCAAACATCCAAGACCTACAACGGATTGCAACGAACCACCATGCATGGAGAGTCATGACCTCTGCCCTATGTGCCGCACTCGACACAAGAGGAAAGACTAACTAACTAACTCCTCCCCCACCCCCCCCCCCCCCCCCCCCATGTAGGTTCCTGGGTTCCATTGTTGAAGGGGGGAAAAAAGGAATAGACCCACTGCCCCTTGACAGCATATCGTAAAAGTCAACTAATTAGCGTGTTTCCTTCGAGGTTGGAGTGCATTTGTCTGAGAGGCAAGGAAATGACAGTCTGTGTCAAAATAAGCCATGGATATGCACGTAAAACTCACGTTGTGGAATAAGACTAATGTTTGGAAGTAGGTAAACAACCAGAACTTTCCACCGGACATTACAGCCGGTAAACACCAAGAAGAAGATAAAGTGTTTACTTTTCAACACATTGAAAGAAATCATCAAGTGCACTAGTGTGGGCAGCAACTGTTCGTCATCTCACATAGTCACCAGTCTTGGATTAGGTCTGTGTTCTTGTGTCTAATATGCTTGATGGCCACGTCATCCATGTGTTTATCTCATTTATTGCCTTTTTTTTTTTTTTTTTGCTCAGTAAAGACAATATATTGTGTCAGGTCTCTGTGTTTATAAAAATTAAGCATATCTAGTGTCGCTTAATTGTGTTTAAACAGTTGACAGCTTCAAATCTTTGCAAAGAGTTAAGTACATTTCCAGTGTCATTTATATTTGTAAAGTAAGTGCTTGATAGCATCTTTCCATACGATAGTGTTGAACTATACTACGATTAGGCGTGGGAATCGCATGAAAAGTCTTGACTCTCTTCCGAATAACGGTCCCAAATGAACTACGCAGACAGTTAACCCAAACAGAGCCTCACTCATACGTGTCAAAAGTAGGATTAACTGAGGACGACATTGTCGCAATACGCAACGGATTTTTTTGCGGCGATTACACAGCGGCAAAACTAGGATTAACTGCCGACGAAAAAAAATTACTGACACGCGAGAATACTCCCGATAGCGCTATCCTACGTCAGGGCCCGAAGGCGCTAAACTAGATGGCTAGGACTCACGAGCAGCAGCTACCGCAGCTCCTGCAGCTTCCTCCTATGTGAGTCCCAGCCATCTAGTTTAACCCCGGGGGATACTCTCCGAGGTGGCACTATAGTAGCAGGAAAACAGTCATGAGCTACTTCTTCCGTCGCAACTGCCACCGTGGTCGCATTCGCGACGGTAAAGGGGGGGTCGGAATAGTGGAGCGCCATAGCGGCTGGTGGTTTAAAGTTGTCCCGAGGCTTCTGCTGGTTTGAAGTTGGCCGGAGGCGACATGAGCGTACATTACAACGGGCATTATTGATTATTTCCCGCCCGGAACAAGAATCGCGGACGAGCCGCGCCCTGTTGAAATCGCGGACAGCCAGAAAGAACAGATATTCGGGCACTATTTGCAACTTCTGTGCCACAATTTTCACATATAGAGAATTTCAATATGGGTAAGTAGTAGAATTCCCCCATTTTCCTGATACTTTTTCGTTCTTTATATTTCCCGAGTTACAGCTTTCAAATGTTTGTAGGGCAGGACGTAATGAGGCTCTGTTTGGGTTAACTGTCTGCGTAGTTCATTTAGGACCGTTATTCGGAAGAGAGCCAAAGTCTTCCATAATTATAGCACAGGATTTCAGTAAGGTTGTTGCCATCATTTGTATTAAATGCGTTTCATCTCAGATGCTCAGCTCTCTTCCCTTCTGCAGTCATTTCTTCCTTCACTCTCATTCCTTTCCTGATTTGCCTCATCCTTGCGACACAGTCCTCTGTATTTTTTCCCATGAATCTTTCTCAATACCTTAAAAACACTGCCATCCTCAATTCTCTGGGTGTGACCCAGCAAACTGAGTCTTTGTAGACTGAGCAATGAGAAAACTTGTAATATCTGCTCTTTCCAGTACTTTAGTGTTTGTGATCTTAATGTTAACTATTCTTCTTAGGCATTGCATGTGAAAGCTAGTAAACCATTTCTCCTGGTGCGAATAAGGTGATCAAGTTTCACTGCCATAAAGAAGAGTGATGAGAACACACGCCTGATCGACAAGAGTTTTTGTTTTTATTGTGAGCTTTCTATTCTCAAGAACTTTTTTTTTATTGCTATTGTTGCCTTGCCAGCGATAGTTGGTTTCTCACTGTGCATCCCAGATAGGTAAAATGGTCAACTGTCTCCAGCTGTTCACTATGTAAGTACAGAACATCAGTAATTATATAGATTAGTGGTTCCCAGTTTTTCAACGTCTTCCGAGGACTTTGTACTTTTTAAGTCTTCATTATCATCGTGTAGCAAGTCCTTTGCAGAGTATCACTGTCACTGCAGTCTTGCGGTCCACCTAAAAGAAACTTGGTCTCTTGGCAGATCTGCCGCCTCAAGCACTTGTCTACCCAAGGTGTCATATCCTGTGCCCATTTTTCCTGGTACTGTGCTTTGTGCTGTTTTTTTTTTTTTAAATCAGTCATGAAGCTTCATATTGCCAAAATATTTTAGTTTCTGAGACAAGATGCTGCTTACTTCATTAATTGTCTTTTTTGTTTTTGTTTTTGGTTTTTGTTTTAAATGACACAGTTTTTATTAGAATCACAAAAGTGACTGCATTCTAGTGTTAGGTTTTTTTGTTTTGTAAATAATATCATAGAAACCATAAATTTGGGAAACAGTATATACTTCTTCTTTCTTCTTTACGTCCTCTTTTACTGTTTCGGGTGTTGAGGAAGATATAAGATTCTACTTTATGCACTTCTGACTTCTTCTACCATAGACACATTATGGTGCTAAGAGTTTTTTTTTTTGGGGTGTTGTTTTCCTATAAAGTTCTTGGTCTGCCTATTTCTCTCCGTCCCTCTCCTCTTTTGGAATATGTCTTGTATGTTATAGCATCAGAAGGCATTTTCTTCAAGTGGTCCAATTGATTTGCTGTATTTGGATGTAATTTAGAATTGGTTTTATGGCGATTTTTATCTCATATGACCTCTATCCTGATTTTACCTCTTCTGGTCACTCCTACAGTCTTTCTTAAACACCTCATTTTCGTGGTTACTTATTTACTTTTTTGTTTTGTTGTGTGTGACCACGTCTGGCACTGGTAGCATAAGGTGGGAATGAATATGCTGTGTATGAGATGTTTCTTTGTGCTGACTGGGGTTGCCTTATGCTGTAAGAGGGGGCCAGCTGTCCCAATACTTGGCCTGCTTTACTGCATCGGATGTTAATTTCTTTGTCCAATTTACCATCTTCATTGAATATTATGCCAAGATATTTAAACTCATGCATGTTTAATATATGTATGCTCTAATTCTGTATTTAAATTCTGCTTCTTTCTTCCAGCTGACATTATTTCTGTCTTGTCAATGTCGATTCTCATTTTATTTGATTTACATTCTTCATTCATGGATTTGAGATGTTGTATATACTAATGATAAAAATATGATTTATTTTACATCTCAAAAATGATAAGATACTTGGATGTTGTAATGTAATTAATACACCTGTTCCTGAACATATATTATTGCTTTTTTATCTGCTTATTGTACAAAGTATTAAGCTTGTTTTCTCTCTTCATTTTAACCAAGGGTCCATCAGAATTCAGAAGACAGAGGTCACTATTGTCCAGGCAGCAGCTGTTAGACAAACTATTGTGCTCACTTGTCCAGCATGTGCAGAAAGAAAATAGCCAGAAGAAAAAGGTTTGTTTTGTCTGCATTTCATGTTTCATTCATTCTTCATCAAGGTTATAGAATGGCAGGATAACTTCATTGTGTTTGGTAGAGAGAGTTTGTGTGTGCATGTTGTTGTTATCTATTACCCTTTATGTGCTTATAAATTTCATTATCTTCAAATGTCTTTCTGAAGGGAGTGAGGAATCAAGCTTTTCCATCTGTCTTGTGGAATAGTGAACAAAGCTTTTTTTTTTTTCAAGAGTCACAAACTGGGCACGCAGACAATCATCTTTCAGACATCAATTGTATTTTTATTAGCAAAGCATGTTATGTTTAGATAGCAAAATACATAATATCAGTTAGTTAGTTAGTTAGTCTTTTTTGGGGCGGTTCATTGCCACCTGTTTTTAGGTCTTGGATGTTCATTATTCCCATGGTTGAGCCTTCCCTAATGATTGTTATGCGCAGGGTCTCTCTTGGCCTTCCCCGTTTTTCTGTTTTCTTCCAGTGTCCCTATGAGGGCTTGATGTGGGTGTTTTGTCTTATCCATTCTGAGTACATGGCTGATATAGTTCCAGCGGTGTTTTATTTTGCTCGGTCTCCTGTCTTATTTGCACACTGCGTCTGAAATCTGTCCAGTGGAGATTTAGTATTCTTCTAAGACATTTGTGCTCAAAATTGTTTTAAAAATTGTTATATAGAGCTACAGTTGCTTTCCAACTCTCACATCAGTAAATTAGCACTGGAATCACACAAGAGTTGAAGATCTTAACTTTATATAAATAAATATAATATGAGTATAGAATAAAAAAGCATGAGTGGCAAATTCGTACATTCAGATATGCATAATGCATCATACACACATGCTCATACTACACACACACACGCATGCATGCCAGCACACACACACACACACACACCATACACCCCATGCCCAACCCCCACACCACCACACACCCCATGCCCCACCACCACACACACACACACACACACACACACACACACACACGCATTCTTATAGATCTACATACTCAAGACTGAGAAAGCTGGGATGATATGAAGTGGATTGAAGTAGATCCCTCTCAACTTTAATTACTGATTTAAATTACCTTTATATTATAAACAGCTGGTTTTAATTTCAACTATCAGAGATGCAGATGTGGCGGTGAGGTACCAGGACCAGTGCTGAAACTCCTAAAGACCTATCTGTATCTCTCAGTGGTCATTCTAGAAAAGGGTTTCTTACTGGTGGCCTGTCCGGGGCTTAGGCATTGTGATTGAAACCCACTGCTGGCTGCGGGGATTTTTATCATGGTGTGGGGCATTGCAGGTCGACCCAGCCTTAAATGGGTACCAGGATGGATGTCCTGGGGAAGTAAAGACGACCGACGTAATGCTGACCACATCATCCTCCTAGTGCCGATTGGTCTCTTCCCATGTGCCTGATGCGGCTAAGGGGCATGAAAAGGAAGCTTCATTTTACTTACTGGTGGCCTGCCCAACGTAGGCCAGATCTATGTTTCATTCAAAGGAGCGTGTCTGCCTGAGAGGCAAAGAACCAACAGACTGACAAACAAAAAAAGCTGGATCTGTGTTACGATTGTGGATGTAGAAGATAAGTCCTAGATTAAAACCACTGTCCGGGCATGGATGAACAGCAGGGGACTCTACACCAGAGTTCTCGGCTAGCGAATTCAAAAGATGGATGATTTCTTTTACTGAATGATTCAAGAAAACGTAATGGCCTGTTAGAACAATACATTCTATTATATTGTGTGCCCGGCGTCCCAGCTGTGAGGAGACAAGGTGACAAACTCTTTATGGTCTGAGTTCATGCATGGGGTTAGGCAGAAAAGCCACATATTTTCGAGATTTACGGTATCTATCATGAAATGAAGGCCCAGAGGTTGCGTTATCCATAGTACCGAGCCAAAGGGTTTAAAAAACTCATGGTTTCTGGATCCACAAATAAAAAATTATCTTGTGTTGTTAGATGTGCATTAAATTATACAGAAAACTTCATTTTACTGAAAGTAAACTTCATACACATTCATAATTTAGTTGGATTTAAATAGTTTCTGAAACAAAATTTGCCTTAAAAAAAAAAACATTTGTTTCAGTTGGAGCGACTGCAAGCTCGTTTGCATGACTCAGAATTTGAGGCCATCAAGAATGAGCCCATTCCTCTACCCTTGGACCCATCTGTGTTGGTCAAGGGTGTGATTCCAGAAAAGGCATCTGTTTTCTCTGTAAGTAGAAGTATTATTCCTAATAAAGGCTTGGAAAGATAATAAATAGATATATTCCTATACAAAGGTTTAAGAGAGAAGTGAGAGAAATTATTTCTCCATGCCAAGGCTTATGAAAGTTGAAAAGTAAGGTATTATTTAAATGTGCAGGCTTTTCAAAGTAGTGGGTGAAATTATTATTCTATACAAAGGTTATGACAATAGTAAGTAAGCATATTTTTTACATACTGTATTTGTGATCACTTGATTGGTAATGAGTGGAATTAAAAGGGAAGAGATTGGTTTGGCTGTGAAACGTTTCCGAGTAAAAATTGGTTGTTTGGCACCGAAAGAGGAAATAACTAGTTTACCAACTACATGCTGCACTGGTTTATTTTCACCTAACCTTCTTCATCTTCTTCTTTCTTCTTCTTCTTCTTCTTCTACTTCTTCTTCTTCTTCTTCTTCTTCTTCTTCTTCTCCTCCTTCTCCACCTCCTTCTTCTTCTTCCTCTTCACACTCACTAGCTGTAAAGTTCAACAGAAAGTTTCTGGTTGTTCATCCACTTCTGAGATTCATTCTTGTTCCAGAACTTGAGTTTTGCATGCATATCCATTTTACAGGTCTAATTTATTTGTATGCAAACTGTTGGTTCCTTGCCTCTCAGGCAGAGGTAGTCTGACTTCAAAGAAAACCCATAATTAACCACTCTTAGACATGCTTGTTAAAAAGACATAGGTCTATTATATCCCCCCCCCCCCCCCCCCACTAAGTGACCCCTGAACCCACACCAAGAGTTTCTACATAAATACTACATTTTTTTTTCCAACTAAACACTGCGATGGTTTTTATTCAGTGCAATACTAGTTTATTTCCAACTAAATATATACTGCTTTATATGCAACTAATCCCGGCTCTCTAGCGTAGTTAGCTAAAATGGATTGCGCGGGACTGGGTGACGAACTCTTTGTGGTCCGGGCTCACTCCGGGGGTAGGCAGAAAAGCCACATTTCTCCCAGATTTACGGTATTTATCATGGAATCAAGGCCGAAAGATTGCGATATCCATAATACCGAGCCTAATAGTTAACAATTCATGGCTTCTGGATACTAAAAAAAAAAAAATGCAACTAAACCTAGAGTAATTTTTATTTCCAGCTGAATATTATAATGGTTTTCAACTAAAAAAAAAACTACCAGCTGATCACTAGAGTGTTTTATCTTGACTAAAAGACACTGATTTATTTCCTGTTCCGCACCTCAGCGATCTATCTCTAACGAAACATTATATCTGTGTCATGTTTCTAGAGCAAACTGAGCCCCTGCCTGGTGGCTTTCCAGACAGTCAGTGGGAAGGAATACAAGGTGATATTCAAGTATGGGGATGACCTCAGACAGGACCAACTTATCTTGCAAATGTTTCAGCTTATGGACAAGGTACAGTTTACAGTACTGCATTTTTATTGCACATGCTGAACATAAATTTGATCATTCGATTGGTTTGTCCCCTCCAGTTTAACTTATTGGTTTGTCTACTCCAGTGTGACTGTTCTGCTCTATTACCTGACATGTCCCATCATGGAGACAACCAGTAGCTACATTAGCAACAGGATGGCTTTTGGGGTCATTGAAGCTTATTAGCCCCCTCTATCAAAGTACCCTTTGGAAGGAGAGTTGTGAAGGAAGATTCTGGAGCTTTTTCGGTGACTACTAGTAGTCTGACTATGGAGGTCATGGCTGTGACGAAAGCAGTAACATGGCTAGAGACACAGACTTTCACTGGAGAATGCTTTTTCAGTGACACGTTGAGTATGCTCAGGAAGATAGAGAAGGACTAGGTCCGAAGGCAGTGGTTGGTGGCTCTACAGACTTCACGGCTGACAAGGATTAGTTTCATTTTCGTGCCTGGACATGTGGGGGTACAAGGAAATGAGCCCGCTGATACGCTTGCATGTAAGGCTACTGTAAAAGCAGGACAAGCCATGGACCAGGCTGATATACTGAATGCGCTAAGAGAGTTAAGACGTTTGCATGAACCAACTGAGAACTGTGAATCTGCAACCTTGGTCCGACTGCAAGAACAACATGTTAAACAGAGTGTCGCCAAACAAGAACACTACTCGAGTAGCCAAAGAAGAAGAATAAACCAACACAGAACTGGTGTCGTTAGCCGCTACACGCTGCAGGATTTACTGAGGAGGGGATCCGAGCACTTATGGACTAAGTGGTTCGATGTGCAGTGAGGATAATATGTCGACTAACTAACTCTTTCAGACCACAGTGGAGATTTACTGGGGTAGTTGGGGCTGTAAGTTAAGATCCCTTTTCCATGCCTTTAGGCGTATTAGACATATAGGGCTAGTCCTATATTTTATAAACCAATTGGCACTCCGTGGGTGATATGGTCAGCATCACGCCAGCCGCCTTTACTTTTTAGGACTATACCTGGTTTACATTCAAGGCTGAGTCGACCTCAGAGCTAAGTTTATTTTGGAAAAAGGCTCCATCAGGACTTAAACCCACTACTTTCTGAACCGCTGGTGAGCATCTAGCCACTGTGGTGGCACCCAGGTTGGGGCTGTTACATAAAATATTTTTCATCTTTTCTCTTCTTCTTATCATTCACTGCCTCCAGCAGAAAGTTCTGGTTGCTCATCCATTGCTGGACTTTCGTCTTGTTCCAGAACTTGTTTTGCATGCATTGTTCCAGAAATTGAGTTTGCGTCCACATCCGTTTTGCAGATCTGGCTTTTGTGTATGTCATTTGTTGTTTTCTCTCCTCTCAGGCAGATGCAATCTTGATTTCAAAGTAAGTACCTTTAAATAGTTTACTTTTGTGACATGCTGTTAGGAGGCAGTAAGTCAATTGTTTTTGTTTCTAAAATACGGGACCCGGGAACCAATACAAGTATTTTCATCTTCTGAAATGCAACTGATAGCTTTGTTTTAGTTAGAGTAGTTAGTTTGATATTTTAATTATTGTATTAGATAGTACCTTTTGTATTTATTTTTTTAGCTGCTCAGACATGAAAATTTAGACCTGCAGATGACACCATATAAGGTTTTGGCTACTGGGAAGAATCATGGTAGGTCTACTACCTCATTGGGAGGTTGTTTTTTAAATTTTTTTTTACAAACTATTTATTTGTGTAGTATTATATGTGTTTATTGTTGTTATTGTTGAGAAATACAAGTGTGTAGTTATGTATTACATTTAAATCTATAGAATTTGAAAGTAAATAAAAAAATTGTGAAAGGGTTGAACTAAAGAAAATATTATTCAGTAAAACCAAAAGAGATGTTAAATATTTGCAGCGAGGCGTGGAAGGACATCAGGGGTCATAAAGGATTGACAGTACATGAATCAGAATATATAATGAACAAACTTCTTTATATAAGTGCATTGTCTGTTTGTTTATTATATATATAATATTTCTGTGGCCTCAAGGGTTTCCCTATGTTTATTTATATGAATCAGAATAGAAAACTGTTCGGACATTCCTACCAAAACCAAATGACATGGACTGAAACTAGAAGATCCGGTCAGAAAATAGAAAATTTAGGGATATTCATAATGTAATGCCCCATTTTTTTTTTAATATTGTTTGTGCAAAAATGTATGAAGTTCAGCAGTGGCAATATAACTCATTATATCTTGTACACATCCTGATTTTTTACATCATCTCCATCCAGTTCTTCTATGACCTTATGCCAACATGAAACAATAGCTTGTACATCTGACCTCTATCAGGTTTTGCCCTGTTGATGTAGTCATTTATTCACCGCATAAATTATATCCATATGTCTGTCCCTCCATTTTCTAGAGCTTAAACTTTGAACCCATTGACTACATAATTTGTACACAGCACACAGAAACTTATACATGTTTACCAGTATTTTTTCCACAACTGGAAATTCTACAGCAATTCACTGTTTGTAACACACATTGTCCTCACATGCCATTTTAACGGATTAATGCAGCTGTTTTTTTTTATCAGAATGTGTGCCATTTTGTACATAAAGTACGGCCATTTTAAATTTGAAATGTGCAGAATTTCATGTTTTTACATTTTGCAAAGAAATCAAAATGTGGGCATTACTTTTTCTAAATGTTCCTCATATTTTGACAATATAACAAGCACAGCTCCTTGTTAAAGTACTGTAAGGGAAAAACACCATATTCCTCAGATTGTGAACAGGATTCTTTACTCATTAACTTGATTGTGTTAGTATTATGTCAGTCATTTCTTCTTCTCTAGATTATGAACCTGGATCAGGCATATATCCATACTGGTTGATCAGAAATGTTATATGCTGGACAATGTTATGTCCTTCAATTACAGATTTAGTGCAACATTTTGAATTGACTACATCTTCTTACCGAAATTATTATGTGGTAAATTATTTCTCTGTTTTTGAATATTGACTTCCATAGTTTGCCTTTTCCATATTATTTCTATAATGTTCGCTTGGTAAAATATGTCTGTTTTGCCTTATTTCCTTTATTTCTATACAGACTCCATAAATTTTGCTTTTACTTTTATTTGAGAAATACAGTTGTGAAATAATTTATTTAAATTGTACCAAAAGAGCTCTGTAATACGGTATTCTTACAAGTCTCTGCTACCAATGACAGACTTAGACAATGACCAAAAAAAAAAGGAGAAAAGAAATGTTACAACTGAACTGAGATTGTAAGAAAGAGCACTCAACATGCTCAAAAGCAAGAAGATCAGAAATGATGAAATCAAGAGCAAAATAATACTTCTTCTTCTTCTTCTTCACTTCTCTTTTACCGCTGTGGGTGTCGAGGGAGATATAAGGTTCTGTCTCTAGCTCTTCTGGCTGCCTCGACCATAGGCACATCGTGCTGTTGTAGAGTTTCTCTGATGTTTTCCTTCCATCTTGTTCTTGGTCTACCTCGTGCTCTACGTCCTTCTTCTCTTTCCATGTATGCTTTGTATGGTATGGTGTCACAAGGCATTCTCTTTAAGTGGGCAAACCATTTCACTTGCTGTCTTCGTATGTAATTTAGAATTGGTTCTGTGCCGACTTTTTCTCTTATGATCTCATTTCTGATCTTATCTCTTATGGTCACTCCCTCAGCCTTTCTCAGACATCTCATTTCCATGGTTACTAATTTTCTTTTTTGGTTTGTTGTGAGTGACCATGTCTGGCACTGGTAGCACAGAGTTGGAATAAATATGCTTTGAATAAGATGTCTCTTTGTGCTGATTGGGATTGTTTTATTCTGTAAGAGGGGGGCTAGCTGTCCCAATACTTGGTTTGCTTTACTGCATGCAAAATAACACTATAACCCCTAAATGGTTAAAAAATACACTTTGGTCGCCAGCTGAGAGTGTGCCTCAGCAAATAATGATGTAAAAACCAAGTGGGAATCTAAGGAGAGACCAGCCCTGCAAACGATGGACTGACGAGATAATGTAATCTCTGGGAATCACCACAGCAGAATTGCTGCTCACTGTTGGTTTATGCGGTCAGTCGCGCAAGCCGGCATTGCAGAAATATAGGTCATTCTGAACGTGACTGGCCACCTGCCATTTTAGTTCAATCAACAGTATGGCACACACACACAAACATTCTACTAGAAATCCACAGCTCACAGTGTCACACCAAGCACTCAGCCCAAGCTACTAGAGGATTGAGATGAGATGAATTTGAAATAACCTTTGACATGTACCCCTCTGAATGATTGGATGGTACTCGTATTTTAGCCGTTTTTGTTTATTCAGTTTTTTTTTTTTTAGTTTTATTTATTCCTATAGATTTTAACACTATACAATGCAGACTGTTTAAGGTGATCTCGTGCGTGACATATTTCTGCTGTGAAGAATAATTTGTTTATCCCCGGAAGTTTTTTTTTTTTTCTTGCTTGAACTCTTATCCAGGTAAGAGAAATTTCTGAAACACCATTTTTGGTGTCACTGGTGAGTTCTCCTTATCAGATCTGCACTGTATAGATATTTCTTTATCTCATTTATTCTGTTGTACATTTCAGGTTTTGTGCAGTATGTTGAGTCCATTGCCTTATCTGAAGTATCTAAAGAAAAAGCCATTCAGAAATTCCTGAGGCAACACAATCCAAGTGAGACAGGACCATATGGCATTGCTGGCGAAGTGATGGACAACTATGTAAAAAGTTGTGGTATGTATCAAGTCATAAACACACTTCTTGTTCAGTCTTAATAAATTAAGAAGAAGCAGTATACCAGACTCACAATCAGGTGCCATCTCCACAATAAAGGTTGGCTGCAGTGAATCTCCAGCACGCTCTTGTCTTTGATGTACACACCTCTCAGATTGCTGTATGTCTGTCTCTTGGTGTTGTCTTCTCACTTGAATCATTGTCTACCTTAAGCTATTGAAGAAGAAAACTGATTGACGAAAACACAGATGAAGGTGATGCTGTAGTTTACATAGATGGGTCAGTTATTAGGGGCAAGCGAAGTGCATGGGCCTTCACAGTAAGCTCAAGGAGATGAATGGCGCCTTTGCTGTTACAACTAGTAGCCTTACAATGGAAACTATGGCTGTAACAAAGGCTTTAGCATGGCTTGGTACTCAAAAGTTCACTCACGTATGCTTTCTTAGTGACTCGATGAATATGCTTAAAAAAATACAAGTGGGAAATGGCAAAAATGGATTGAAACACTAAGCACTTCATTAATATCTGCCCTAACCTTCATCTTTGTGCCAGGTCATGCAGGTGTTCAAGGGAACGAGCATGCAGACTGTCTTGCTGACACTGCAGTTGCTATGGCTGGCCCAGTACTAGACAGTGATGTTATCAATGCCATGCGCTGCACTTACAGTACCGAGGAGCGCGCCAAAGGACAAGACTCCATATCCCTGTCTAGACTGATGGACATGGGGGTGCAACCTGGAGCTGCAAGAAATGAACATTTCACTAAGGGGACAAGACGTTTCATTAACCAACATATAACAGGCGTCATCAGTCGTTTTACACTTGTGGAGCTTTTGAGGAGGAGATCGGAGCACCTATGGATCTGTCCGGAATGCTGTGATGATAATCCTTTCTAATCACTAATCACTAACTTAAGCTCTTTTGTCATCGAATTTTCCCTCGAGTAAGCTTTTTCAAAAGAGTGTCATGTTTTTTAATGTGTCCAAAATATTTAAGTTGTCTATCTTTTTGTCCAGCAACTCTCTTTTTTTATTCTTAGTCTTTACATGAAATACAACTATTTTTCTATATATCCACATTTCCAGAGGCTTAGTTTGATTTTCTAGTTGTTTATTTATTGTTCATTGTCATTGTTTCTGCTCCATACAGGGTTGAATATATAAAACATTTGTTGATTGTAATTTTTAATGTGTTGTTTATCTCTCTAGATGTAAAAAATATTTGCATCTTACTGACTGTAGTTTAGCCATTCATATTCTCTTTTTGATTTCTGTTTTACTTCTGCCATCATTTGTTGTTATGTGTCCAAGATAGAGAAACTTGTAACTTGTGTCTCTCAGTTTACTGCGAAATTCATGTTTGCGCTCTTTTCCATTGTTAATTACCAGTTTTTATTTTTTTCAAATATTGCTGTCTAACCCATTCTCTGCTCTCTGCCTATTAACCTAATCCACTGGGTCCTTTTCATGGACCTTATTATAATCTCTTCATTACCACTTTTTATCCACTGCCATTTTTGTATTTTGTGGTATTTTTAAAATGTGTAATGATTTACTTTACAGCTGGTTACTGTGTTGTGTTTAAAATGTGTAATGATTTACTTTACAGCTGGTTACTGTGTTGTGACCTACCTTCTCCAGGTTGGTGACAGACATTTAGACAACCTGTTGCTGACTAAAACTGGTAAGTATGGATACATGGTTTCATAAATATTTTTCATATATATATATATATGGAGTTGCTGTGGTCAAGCGGCTAGACGATTGCCTGCAGATAGGAAGGTCATATCTTCGGGTCCTGATGGAGGCCGGACTTTTTTAAAAAATGCCAGGTCAACCCAGCCTTTAGTGGGTACCAGGTGCGGTCCTGGGAAGTAAAGGCGGTTGGCGTGGTGCATCACCCACTAAGTGTCGTTGATTTATAAAATATAGGTCTAAACCAATATGCAGAAAGCCTGGAGGTGTGGAAAAAAGTCTTTTACTTTACATATATAAAAGATTTATTATATGCACTTTCTGACATCACATGTGTACTCACTAGATAGTATTAAAACATGTAAATCCAGATTAGAATTAGATTTCTTTAGCATACAACATTTCTTCTTAGCATTCACCAGCCAGAAACATCTGTGGAAAGTTCTGGTTTTCATCCACTTCTGGGCTTTAGTCTTGGTTCCAGTACTTGAGTATTATATGTACATCCATTTTACAAATCTGGCTAATTTGTAAGCACCCTATTGGTTCGTTGCCTCTCGGGCAGATGCACTCCAACTTAGAAGGAAGCACCCCCTGATTAGTTGATTTTTAATGACATGCTTGTTAGCAGCGCAGCTGGTGATTCTTTTCTCCCCATAAATAGGGCCCTGGAACCGACAAGGGCAAGCATGCAGCCAGCGATACGGTTACAACAAGAAAACATAAAATCACTTGTCACAAAATCTCCATCCATGCTTGAACAGAAGAGTTGCTTTGCTCAAAAAAACAAAAACAAAAAAAATTGTCTTTTCAAGCGGGGGGAGCTTTAGGTTATAATGGTCACTAGGTTCTGTGCACCATATAAAATGGCTTAGTATTGCTTGCCACCAAGAAGCTCTGAAAAGAACTCTTACAGTGTTAATGCAATCACAGGAGACACGCCCAAATACTGTCCCGACCAGCAACAAAGTCATCTACCAAGCAACCAAAGGGTGACCTGGTTACCGATGTTGAACAGAAGAGGCTCATCATCAAAGTCATTGCCGAAATAAGATTGCTGGACAGTACTGGACCCAGCGATAGCAAACTGAACATTATCAAAGATAGCAAACTCGACATTATCTGTATTATCTGACCTCACATGTTTTCATTAAATGTTGAATGAAACAATTTCTGAACTCGTTAACATCATGTTAACACACAAAATATAATATAAATATATATTTTATAAACTAAAGAAGAAGACTTTGGGGCATATGGCTTTCACTGACATTGCCAAAATCTCTTCTGGCGCAAAATCTCTTCTGGCGTTGCAATTTTAGATTAGTTAAGAGTGAGAAAATGAACAAACGAATGCATGAACAAACTTTATTTTCAGACGGTTAAGAATTGGGCACACAGGCCAGTCTTATATTCTGTTCTTCGGGCCTCACTTAAGAACGCTAGAATTTATATGTGCCATAAAAAAAAATTTTTGTCAAATTTCTTATCTCATTTGCATACAGTGAGTTAATCCACATAAACAGACTCAGCACATGTTGCAAACAATACAATATGAAAATAATTACAGAAAATAACATAGAAATAATGACAGTAAATGAACACCAGTTCAGCATATCACTGTTGAAGGAGAGACATTAAAACAAGATAATGAGTTTAAGTACCTAAAGGGCTGCGTGGTCTTGAAGTATGGCATCCGCTTCAAGTACTGGAGGTCTCGGGTTCAAACCCCGGTGAAGGCTGGGATTTTTTCACGTGGACTTCTAGTAATTTCTCTTGGTCTCTGGCTAGTAAGTTCGGATGCCTGTGTGACTTGTTGTGCACGTAACAAAATACCTTGGCAGTTGGTTATCAAAAAAGACTAGCCTTACCGCGCTGCCCGGGACAAATTTGGAGTTAAAAATCTGCCCAAAGTATTTCATGATCCTCACCGGTGCAACAGAGTATACTGTGCTGAGAGTCTTCGGACTCAGGCTTGAGTTAGAAGTAGAACGGAGCACTTATAGGTTGCACCCGTGTGCCTTGATGTTGATCCGTCGACTAAACCTAACTAAACCTAATACCTAGGCAGTGTATTCACAGAAGATGGAGGACTGAACAGAGAAATAGAAAACAGAATGCTAACAACATGAGGCATCAAAATATCAACTTGCACACACACATACACAAAATGCAGCTGAAAAATGCACTATCAGTGCCAGACATGGACAGTCTTGATAAACATAAATGCAAAATTAAAACATGTGAGATGAGGTGTGTAAGAAATGCGGCATGAAAAACAAGAAGAGACAAGAGTCACCAACGAAGCACTGAAAACAAAAGCAGGCACAGTACCGGTGAAGGATTTCATAGAACATCAAAGGATCGAATGGTTTGGTCATCTGGTCAGAATGGAACACAATTAGCCAGCAGCTAGAGCGTACTACATGAGAACAGCAGGCAACAAATCAAGAGGTCGACCAAGAAAGAGATGGGTGGATGGAGTAAAAGAGGCTACACAAATCTCACTACAACATTAACACTAGCTACGCAATAGGAAAAGACAGGAAACATATAACTTCTTTCTGCAACACTTTACGACATAAGCAGTAGGACAAAATAAGAAAAAGAACTCTGTAATGTGATCTATCTACAGCAATGAACATTACAGCATAGAGCTTAGCTACTCTCTAAAATAAGTTGCATGTTTATCATTTGCTTAATTTTTTTAAAGAATTTTGTCTTTGATACATTTTCTGTATAATCATTCAGAGTTGTCCTCTCTTTACCAGGCAAGATGTTCCACATTGACTTTGGCTTTATCCTTGGCCGAGATCCAAAGATAATGGCACCTCCTATGAAACTGAACAGGCAGATGGTAGAAGCCATGGGTGGTTATGATTCAGAACATTTCCAGCGGTTTAAAGTGTTTACATACACTGCATTCTTAGCTCTGCGGAGGTAAGTTCTGTTACTGTCTTAACCCTTTCACCTAGGCAACCCTTGAACAGAAAAAAGCCATAGACCCAGGAATTCCAGATAAATACTCCTTAACCAAATATTTTGCACAGGTCACTAATGAAAAAATTCATGAATTTTTTTTTTTTTTTTTTTTTTTAATATATAAAATCCACAAGTCCCCATCAGCAGACTCAACAAAAAGCAGCATTCAATAATTTTCTGTCTAAGAACAGGACACTGCAGGCTCTACTACCGCATGCATCAAATAAAGACTGTAAAGTCCCCACAGTGTGCATGTCAGACAGAACCACAAACACCTAAGCACATTCTACAGACCTGCCCGCTCTACCTACAACTTTAAAACAAAACCTGGCCTCAAGAACAAAGTGAGCTGTTTTAGGACTCAGAACTGGGTCTTGTGGCCAGGCACCACAAAATAGTGAACATATACTGCAGACATGTTCTCTACATGCAGCAGAGATATCCCAGGTCTGGCCAGTTAGCATTCTGGGGGGACACCAAGCTGTACGGATCATTGCCTGGGCTATATGGCTGGTACAGTCACCAACTGTGCATGCTGTGATTTTATTTTTGCCCCCCGACAGAAAGAAACTTATGACTTTACTGGAGATTTCAACCCAGGTCATCCACATAAAAGCCCAGCATTCTTAACCATTTGCCCAGCCACTGCTGTAAAAAAAAAAATAGGTGCTAGATCATACTAACATTTATTTGGATATTGTTTATGAGAAAAGGTGGTGATGAAAGGAACTGGCAACCCTGTCTTAAGTATTCATAGCTTACATATTTAGAGACCTAATATGATGTATTTTATTTTACACCCTGAAACAAACTTTACTCATTTATTTAAAAATTCAAAACAATATATTGATTCAGCGTCCGCTAGTTTTAGTGAACATTTATTCAGTGTGTGGTAAATACTTACCACAGATTCAAAAGACATTTACTAAAACTAACTGAGGTCATTTCAATACAACAGGACAGAAAATTATCACATAAAAAATGTTTCAGTTACCATCACAATTTCATCGCTGATCTTGAATTTCTGAGTGAGTAATTTACAGCCTAACGACAGTATGATTTTTCTTTGGAGGGGGTGGGGGGGGATAATTTCATCGTAAAGGATTTATTTTTAGGCTTCAGTATATGTTGATTTAAGTCACCTGTAGTAACGCACCTGGCAAGATGCAGTGAAATATGCCAAGCAATAAATTATCAGTGCATTGTTTTGTGTCTGCATTATTGTAATAAATATATATTAACAAGTTTTTACATATTTTGAATTTGTGCAGATCTGCAAACTTGTTTTTGAACTTATTTTCACTGATGGTGGACTCAAACATACCAGACATTGCTCTGGAGCCTGACAAGACTGTGAAGAAGGTATTTCTTATTGCTGTCTATTAATTGTGTCTGTTTGGCAAGGTCAGCCTGATGCTAGATGGGAAAAGGAGATGTGGATGTTGTAAAGGAATCTGGAGAATAACAGTAGAAAGGGAAGTGAAGGAGTGTAAACTCATTTGGGATACCATACGGGGGAGAGCAACAGACTGGCAGCAGTAGAGGTCACTTTTGAATGTCTTATGTGTCAACAGCAACATAAAGAGGATGTGAACAGATAGAACCGTATCTCTCTCCTTTTAGTAGCAACTATTGCAAACTCTTACCTCTGTCAGTGCCAAAAGGGTTCACACAGATTTTCATAAAGGAAAAGTAGCCATTATGAAAAATAATTATGTTACTTTCCAAGAGGCTTAAAAAAAAATAGTGAAAGTGCCCGCTGGAACAGCCAGATTTAGTATTGCATTTTATTCATCTTTATTGTTTTTCCAAGTGATATTATTGCATTTTGCTGTTTACAGCATAACTGCAATTTTAGCACCTTTCAGCTGACTCATCTGAGTTCATCTGGCATTTGTTCGCTTGGTTTGTATTTACTGTTGCTTTCATGGGATATGGTGTAGCTTTATATTTTGTATCTTTATCTACAAGAGCTGCCCTAGGAAAATTCTTTCTCAGTCCATCCATTCATTTATGAAAACAAAACAAAACATCAGCAACATTCAGCATACAATGAGCAGTATTGCCTATAATTATGGTCTGATTTATTTGTGCCAATTATGCTAATAAGTGTTAATGGTGCCAAAATTAGGGGCTTGGTTTGGTGCTCTAGTACCTCGTGTGAGTTGTTAGGAAAGGGGAAGGCTGCTGAGCATGATTATCAGCATGGGCTTTTCCCACCATCCAAGGATGCTTCTATTAAATCCAGAGCTGACACATAACACCCTGGTCCTGGGCTCACCCAAGAAATCGTCACGTCCTGCACCTAACTGCTTAACCTCACATCTGTATTCTGAGCTTCTCACACATTGTGGGCTGAGCCTTTGGAGAGTATTCTGATCAAAATCTGGCTTCTCCAGTGGACACTTCCACTATTTATTCAGCTATTGAAAAAGGCTGAATAAATACTTGTTATTTTTCATAGTGATTTTTACTTTCTTAGGTGTGTGAAACCTTCTGGGACTGACAGAATTAAGTAACAGCTGCTTGCAGTAGCTGCTAATGATTGCTTAAAACCCGAGGCATTTGTATTCTGTTCTCCATGTGTTGGTTCTGGGGCCCTGTTTTGGGGGGAAAAAGAATAGATCAACTAGCCCTGTAACAAGCATATCATAAAACATGTCTAAGAAGTTTTTCCTTCAAGAGTAGGTATGCGTCTGTCTGAGAGGTGAAGAGCCAACAGTCTGCATACAGATAAGATGTTAGATCTGTAAACTGGATGTACATACACAATTTATGTTCTAGAACAAGACCAAAGTCCAGAAGTAGAGAACAGCCAGAACTTTCTGCCAGAGTTTACAGCAGTAAATGCTCAGGAGAAGAATAAGTATTCTGTTCTGATTAACTAATAATAGAAAGTGGGAGAGGGGCGGCCAAGGTGGCTCTTAAGCAAGCACATGTAAAGACAGCTTTTATGAAATAAGTGTCAGAAGTGGTGAACCCACGTTTTATGTTTGCGTAGGATTCAGTATGCAAGAAGAGACATACACTCAGAATAATGACCACCGGAGAGTGTCAGGAAGATTAACAGACTAAGTCATTCACTGAAGATGTATACTTTGATGATCAGGATGGCTTCTTGTCAATTTGGCAGGTTTACAACCTCGTGTTGTGCTGGCTTCCCTATGGAGTTTTTAACCTCATGAAGGTGCTGAGACAACTTATATGCTGCTACATTTGAGAGCTCTGTTAACTCTTTGAGTCCCAGGGGGTTTAGCATCAGAGGCCCAAGGGGTAGTCAAAAGAGAAGTAAAATCGGCGCATCTTGCATTCACTGGGCTTCTAGTTAGGAACCTATGAACGTATGATACGTTCCTTGGGACTCAAAGAGTTAAACTCTCAGATAACTTTGCATGATTGTTTCTGTTAGTCACCTTTGTGTCTGTCATTGTTAAAACATAACAACTTTGCAGAATATGTTGTGGTGTCTTTTCTACCGGTCCACATGTGCACAGGAGTGTCAGACTTTCTCTTCTTTTGCTTGATTAACATAGCAATAGTTTGTCTGGTTGTAGATTGAATGATCTAACAGTCTAAACAACAGTGATGGTTGACATGTTTGTGGTTTTAACCTAGGTACAAGAGAAGTTCATGCTGCACTTGAATGATGAGCAAGCTGTGCAGTACATACAAGGTTTGATTGATGACAGTGTCAATGCTTTCATGCCCACTTTGATGGAATATGGACACAAAGTAGCACAGGTACAGTCTGTTATTATAAATGCATATTGTGAATGAATGTAAGGTACAGTTGAGGGCTAAAATAGCTCAGTAGCAGGCAGGCTTACCTGACAGCCTGGAGGTCATGTATTTGAATTCATTTCAAGGCCGGGATTGTTATGTGTTTTTTTTTTTGTGTGGGGGGGGGGGGTGGGCAACCCCTTTTCACCCCCCCCCCCCCCCTTTTCCATGGGGATAATTTTATATTGTGCTATAGGGAATCACAGCCTACGAATTGAAGAGAAAAAAATGGAAAGGGGGGTGGGGGGGGGGGGGGGGGGGTCCATAGTACCAGGAGTAAAGCTGGGCACAGGACATTGGAGACACACTGGGTAGGAAAATGCAGAGACAGTTTCTTTCAGTGATGAGAGCAACCTTCTGTAAGGGACCTGCTACATGGGGATGATGACTAAGTTCACTGCAGACAAACTGCTGATGGTGGGCTGAAAAAGAAGACACATTTGCTGTATGTCTTCTGGAATATGGGGGTCCATTTTGGAGGCTTACATACTTACTTACTTATTACTTAGTCTATTCTCTTCTACTCTGGGGTGTGGAGGTTTGCCAGAGAGATCGCCAGACTTCTCTGTCAGCAGTTTTCTTTCTGGCTTTGTTCCATTTCAGTCCTCTGTCAGTTAGGGACTCTTGGATGTTGTCTTCCCAGCAGACCGTGAATCACCCTGGAGATCTGGTTCCCTGGTTCTTAGCCTCCAATGCCTGCCATGGTGGCCAATTTTCTCCCCTTCTGCATACATGTCCAACATCATCATAACTGTGACTGACTCACTTGAGTTTGTGATGCCTGTGTTCCAAGATCCATACATGTTTGTTGTCTCACAGCATCTGGCTGGGTTCCAAGATCCATACATGTTTGTTGTCTCACAGCATCTGGCTGGGTTCCAAGCTCCAAACATGTTTGTTGTCTCACAGCATCTGCCTGGGTTCCAAGATCCATACATGTTTGTTGTCTCACAGCATCTGGCTGGGTTCCAAGATCCATACATGTTTGTTGTCTCACAGCATCTGGCTGGGTTCCAAGATCCATACATGTTTGTTGTCTCACAGCATCTGGCTGGGTTCCAAGATCCATACATGTTTGTTGTCTCACAGCATCTGGCTGGGTTCCAAGCTCCATACATGTTTGTTGTCTCACAGCATCTGCCTGGGTTCCAAGATCCATACATGTTTGTTGTCTCACAGCATCTGGCTGGGTTCCAAGCTCCAAACATGTTTGTTGTCTCACAGCATCTGCCTGGGTTCCAAGATCCATACATGTTTGTTGTATTACAGCTTCTGACTTCTAATTTTCTAGCAGGTGGCACTAATGTTTTTATTCCTACACCTCCTGTCCTCACTACTTCTTCCAATAATCCATTAATGAGGGCGTGAGTTTATTTTCACCTGGAGTATTGGTTGTTGGAATATTTACTAAAGATTATGAACATTCGCTTTTAAAATAAAAATACAGTGACTAAATTACAGTGAAAACAATTATGTTTCAGGTTTTTAAAGATGATATACTGTATTTTTGCATATAAAAGACAATATGTTTTCCTAAATCCCTTAAGTTTAAAACTAGACGTCATATTTTGCAGAGAATGTGATTAGAATGTTTATTTTCCTATTTTGGACCCAAATAGTTGGAGTCATCTCAACATGGGAGCATGTTATACATGGAACAGTATTGTAATATATTTTAGATATGTCTTATATGTAACAAATATATTTTTTTCTTGTTTACCACTTACGCAAAATTACATTCTTTTGTAGGCACTGCGCAAGTAGCCACACCAGGTGCCTTCCAGCTAGACAGGGCTGTTCTGTGTTGATGGCCCGGAAAGCTTCGCTTCTGCTCAACTTTATTTTCATCATAACAACATGAATAATGTTTATGAACTCTGGTATTCTGGCTGCAGAAGTCTACAGTTTTACATTTTCCGTTATGTATACTTATTGTGGCATATACATGTTCTTTGGGCAGTTTATAAGAAAAGTAATACTGGGATACTTTGTGACAACAGGACAGTTAAATGGAAAGAGAGGCAGAGAGAAGCCAAGAGACAAGATGTTGGACAGTTTGGTATCATGTCATGGAAGAATACATGACCCATTTTTGTCCACACATAGAAAACACATTTTTTAATGAAACCATTGTATATATACATAGTATACTCTATATTATGACTGCCATTGCTCTGTAAAAACATTTCGAAGCATGTGCTCCACTTATGAAGAACACATTAAGCACAGCTGGAGTTTGCTTTTAATGGTGTTTCTGATTTGTTTGTTTTTGCTTTGTATGGAAATTTAAAGAACACTCTTTTAGGAGTGACTAAGATTACATGAGATAGAAGCTGTAGACAGACATTCTTCTTTCCTTTTTCTTTATGCTACTGCTTATGCTTTGAAGCCATACCGAGAGGAATTATATGTAGTTTTCTGTCTTTTGCTAGTTACCTGGCTTATGTTGATATCATTTTGAGTTTCTCAAGTGTCTCTTTTACTTCCTCCATCCATCTCTTTCTTGGTCGGCCTCTTACCTTGTAGCCTGCTGTTCTCATGTAGTACGCTCTGGCTGCTGGCTGATTTTGTTCCATTCTGACCAGGTGGCCAAACCATTTGATTCTTTGATGTTCTGTGAAATTATTCATCAGTACTTTGCCTTCTATTGTTCTTAGTTCTTTATTGTTGACTTTGTCTCTTCTTGTTTTTCCCGGTCATTTCTTATACATTTAATCTTCTATGTTGTAATTTTGTGTTTATGTTTTTCTAGGGCTGTCCATGTCAGGCACTTATAGCAAAAAGTTGGTATGAATAATGCATTTATCAGCTGCTTTTGTGTGTGCATGATAATGAACACGAAACTGTGTGGACTTTTTTAGATGAAGAAGAAGTCCAACATTTAGTCCATTTTCTTAGAACAGCTGGGATAAACAGTTTCCTTTCAGAATAATCCAGTATCATAAATGAGCACCTATAAATCTTGTAGTGAAAGTGATGTTCAGTGACTGTTATCGTGCGCCTGCATTGATGTCTAGGCTTGGTTGGTTGGTCATTGCTCCAATCCAGAATTGTTGTCCATAAGTTTAACATCTCATGGATAAGAATCAAACAGAAGCAAATCCCAGAAACCTCCATTCAACCATGTAACAGAATCATATTAGGGCACCTCAGTGGTAGTGAAGTCACCTGGATGGGATGATCTGATGTGCATAGTCTAGAGGTATTTTGATTACTTAGTTAATTAACTGATAGTTCTCATTGCACATCAGACAAGTCTATAAGCTCTCAGATCCCATTTTCTGGATATCCCTCAGCAACTAATAACGCCTGTTCTGTGTTGGATAACACCAGTTCTGTGTTAGATAACACCAGTTCTGTGTTGTGATAACGCCTGTTCTGTGTTAGATAACACCAGTTCTGTGTTAGATAACACCAGTTCTGTGTTAGATAACACCAGTTCTGTGTTAGATAACACCAGTTCTATGTTAGATAACGCCTGTTCTGTGTTAGATAACACCAGTTCTGTGTTAGATAACACCAGTTCTGTGTTGGATAACACCAGTTCTGTGTTAGATAACACCAGTTCTGTGTTGTGATAACGCCTGTTCTGTGTTAGATAACACCAGTTCTGTGTTGTGATAACACCAGTTCTGTGTTGGATAACACCAGTTCTGTGTTAGATAACACCAGTTCTGTGTTGTGATAACGCCTGTTCTGTGTTAGATAACGCCAGTTCTGTGTTGTGATAACGCCTGTTCTGTGTTAGATAACACCAGTTCTGTGTTGTGATAACACCAGTTCTGTGTTGGATAACACCAGTTCTGTGTTAGATAACACCAGTTCTGTGTTGTGATAACGCCTGTTCTGTGTTAGATAACGCCAGTTCTGTGTTGTGATAACGCCTGTTCTGTGTTAGATAACACCAGTTCTGTGTTGTGATAACACCAGTTCTGTGTTGTGATAACGCCTGTTCTGTGTTAGATAACACCAGTTCTGTGTTGTGATAACGCCTGTTCTGTGTTAGATAACACCAGTTCTGTGTTGTGATAACGCCAGTTCTGTGTTGGATAACACCAGTTCTGTATTAGATAACACCAGTTCTGTGTTGTGATAACGCCAGTTCTGTGTTGGATAACACCAGTTCTGTGTTGGATAACACCAGTTCTGTGTTAGATAACACCAGTTCTGTGTTGTGATAACGCCTGTTCTGTGTTAGATAACGCCAGTTCTGTGTTGTGAAAACGCCTGTTCTGTGTTAGATAACACCAGTTCTGTGTTGGATAACACCAGTTCTGTGTTAGATAACACCAGTTCTGTGTTGTGATAACGCCTGTTCTGTGTTAGATAACACCTGTTCTGTGTTGTGATAATGCCAGTTCTGTGTTGGATAACACCAGTTCTGTGTTGGTTTACTTTTCTTCTTTGACTACTTATATAGTATTCATTTCTTTTGACCTGAAGTGCTTGTATGTTTTTGTTTCAATGTTGCTGATTCTTTGTTGTCTAAATCATCTGCTCCTCCTGCCTCCTTGAGATCATTGAGAAGCTCAGCTCGGTCAATTGCTTGTCCTGTACCTACCATAATTACCAGTAAGCCAGTCTGCTCATTTAATCCATCTTACCCCAGAATACCCTGGCACAAAATTGAAACTAATTCCTGTCAGATGACATTCCCTAAGAAACTCCAACCACTCTCTTCAAAACCATCCTGTCTCGATCTTCCTAAGCATGTTCATGGAATCACTTAGAAAGCAAGCATGGGAATTGCATCTCTAGCCACATCATTGCTTTTCTTACCAGCATCACCTCCTTAGTCAGACTACTTGTATTCAAGGCAAAAGCACTTATTTTATACATATGGACCGACGGCTCTATCAGCATTAAACCATTTCCTTCACATCAGGTATAAATTTGGATCATTAGCTCATTGTTTTAATTATAGCCTTAACGTTACTTGTGTTTGTAAATTTCTTGTCTTGCATTAACTCATCATGCTTTTTTTTTTTTAATTGGCTCTTCCTGGAATAAACTAATGTATGACTAGCTACTTCTGTCTGATGTGATAGTGAAGTTGAGGTTTTAAGTATTAAAGAACTATGTTTTGTGGGATACTTTATGAGTTATTAAACAGTAATATTGACTTCAGTGTATATTGTTTTCTTCCTTGTTTTCTAGCTTGGTAAATGGTTACACGTGTACATGAAATGGATTTTAACTGCAGTAACCCTGTGGAAAATGCTTCAGAAAAATTCTTAGAGACCAAGGACAAGAAAAAACACTGACATCCTACATGATCTGGACATAAAGGAGCAATGGCTGATAAACATCCGATCCCGAAAAATGGGAAAACAACATCCGATCCCAAAAGCTTGAATGTTTTGGCCATGTTAAGCGTCATAGTCACCTGGAGAGAGTGGTGATGGAGGGGGTGCGAGTTTCTGGAGACGAGATCTTTGAAAAATAAGAAAGATTGTTTGCATGCTTTAAATACATAAAACATTTTTAATATACAAAGACTGCTTGGTTCCTGTAAATAAATAACAAGTGGTCTTAGAGCCTGTAGATTGAAAGAAAATGCAAAAGTACCTTTTTTACTCAGTCAGAATATTCCTTCTTGGGTGAACCTGCACCTACGAACAGCTTAAGTAAATTGAAAACACAAGCACTGAAGTGCCATGAGAGAACACGAGAGAATAGGAGCTCTGTGCATGCATAATATATTTGTTACTCCCTAAAAATACCAGTTAGAACACAGCAAAGTTTATCACTGAAATTGCACCAAGCAATGAAAATGAAGGTTTGAAACTTAACAAAGCTAGTCTTTTTGTATATTATACTTACAAGTAAACATGTCTAAATAACTTCAATGCTTCTTTATCAAATGAGTTAGGTTAGTTGCATATCCTTTACAGGACGTTGCAGAACCAACCCTAACAGCCCCTGGCTGTGTGTGGTTTTTCAAGGCAAATTTACGTCCAGTAGTTTGCCATTTCTTTCTGGACGGTCAGCTTTCTTGATACCTTTGTCGAAACCAAAGCAAGGGGCATGGCCTGCAGCTGGGATCGAACCCGGCATCCCATATTAAATGAGTAGCTCTTTGTTAAAACAGAGATACATTTTATATATTCACCAACTAACCCTGAAATTAACATTACATATTGTGTGTATATAGAGAGACAGTGTGACCCACAGAGTGTGTTTATGTGTGTGTGTGTATACACAATGTTAGTAACAACTCATTTAAAGTCTTAGCTTATTGGCCCATCACACACATTCGACAACCTCCATGTACCTGATGCTTCTATGAACCCATGCGCTTCAATGATGATCTTTGGGATTCCTTATAAAACCAAAAACTTTGTGTGTGTTTGATTATCTGTAGAAATAAAGACAAACAGAAATATTATTGACTCACTTTTGAGAATAATAAAACTGTGGTGGGTAAAACTTCTGATCAGCTCCACTTTAAACATGGACTGTGGACATTAAAACAATAGACTGCTACATAATAATTTTATAATAATAAAGATGTAAAGATACCCTTTCTTTTCCGTACCTTCAATTATGTACACTCCTGGGATGCAGTCTTTACTAAAACCATACATGACTTTTAAAAATAAAAATTTTAAAAACCCCTCACGATCGGGATCTGAATCCCATATCTTCAGATCCTGAGGTGAGCATCTTATCGCTATGCCACAACAGCTATATACTGCGGTTAACTTCAAAAGTATCTTATTGCCCTAGTTATGTGTGGATTTCTTCATCCATCGCTGTGTTAT